AATATAATTTTCGTATTAAAAAATATGTTTAGGCGAAAATAAACTTCATGCTGCGCATTTTTCAAGTTCAAAAGCCAAATATTATAAGTATTAAGTTCTTTTAGAATAAATTAATAACTCTTTTATATGTGAAGAAATTAGCTTTCAATAGAATCTAAAATCATGCACAGATATTTAATTATTTCAAAATAAAATTTTGAAAATAATTTTTTAAACGAGATTATTTTTATTTTAAAAGGAGAGGAGGAGAAAGAGAAGATAAGAGTAGTGTAAATAGATAGAATTGTCCTAATTTCATTGGAATTGTCGAAGCTTTGTAAATTCAATGGGCTTTTATGTTAGGCTCTATCCAATTATGGGCATTTGGAAGTCACAAAACCCAAAATCGGACTGGACCAAAAAACCAAACCCCAACTATTCAGAATTCTTTTTCTAAATTAATCTTCAAAGTTGATAAAATTATTTTTTCAAAAGAAATTAAAATCTATTAAAATTAAAACTCTACAACTTATGAAAATAAGTTCAAAACCGTGAACTTGAGCAACTGAGTCCAAAGAAATTTTATAAAAAACAAGAAAAATGTCAAATGTTGCCATGAACTTCTATTGAAACCAGGAGAAAAAAAAAATATTGAAAGAAATTTCCTAGAACACATACATACAACAGTTCCTACACAAAATAGATACTGTTGTCATGCATTAGAATACACAATAATGACATTATTTTATTGGTCACTCACTTTCTACCTTTAGAATATTTTCTTTAAAAAAGAGTAGAAATTAAACAGTTAAGATTCTTCTGCTGTAATGTAGCCGAATGGAAGCATCGCCGGCTATGTTGTTCTTACCACTTCAAAGATTACCAATTCTGTTCTTAATTAGGGCGGCATCTATGTGGCTTCACATGTTCATTCGTTTATAAGTAGGTCTCAAATGCAGTGTTATATCATCATATTCATTCACCAATAACCACACACATTTGCAAATTCCTTTTGTGCTTTTGTGTTCTTGTCTAATGGCTAATCCCTCATTTTGCCTAACAGTTTTGGCTCTTTCACTTTCACTTGTTCTAGCAGCTGCTACTACCACTCTCCAAGATTTCTGTGTGGCAGACCCAACAGAGAAAGGTATGGCAAATACATGTGTGCATGCAGTACTGTCTTACCATTTTACTGTAAAACCCTAAATTTTGTATTTTCTTGTTACTACGTCTCTTGCATGATTAGGTCAGGTCGACTGTAGACTTGAAATTCATATTAGAAAAAAAATGTGATAAAAGACGTAGAAAGTATTATTTTATGAAACAGTGTTTATGATAGTTACTTTAAGCTTTATGTTTACCATGGTTTTTGAGGAATTCACAGAGACAGTAATGCTGTAATAATATTAAAAAGTTATGCAGTAGTGTATACACAGAAACAAGATTCTAACATTTCCCCTTGATCAATTATGGCAGTGTTGGTGAACGGTTTGGTATGCAAGGATCCAAAACTTGTTGAGGAAAATGACTTCTTCTTCAGCGGTCTTGACATAGCAGGAAACACCACAAACCCTGTTGGGTCTAAAGTGACACCAGTTTTTGCAACTCAGCTTCCAGGATTGAACACTCTCGGCATCTCCATAGCTCGCATTGACTACGCCCCATGGGGTATTAACCCTCCTCACACGCACCCTCGCGCCACCGAAGTGCTGACAGTCCTCGATGGCACCTTAGAAGTTGGATTCGTCACTTCCAACCCCGAAAACCGTCACTTCAGGAAAGTTCTACAAAAGGGTGATGTGTTTGTGTTCCCCACCGGACTCATCCATTACCAGAGAAATGTGGGGTATGGCAATGCTGTGGCCATTGCAGCACTTAGCAGCCAGAATCCAGGAGTCATCACCATTGCTAATGCAGTGTTTGGGTCCACACCTGACATTGATAGCGACGTTCTTGCCAAGGCTTTCCTTTTGGACAAGACTATCGTCAATTATCTACAGTCCAAGTTCTAGACAAGAACATGGGAGAGAAATTAGATTTCATTGATTGCTTCCTTTGTGTGTTGAATTGTATCCATGTGTGTAGTTTTTATTCATGTTACGTTTTGTTATTTGTCAGACTCTGATATTGATTAATTTTATACGTTGAATTTGGTGTTAAATTGTTTGTGACGATTAACCTTCTGGTCAACGGAAGAACAGAAAAGTTTGAGATGCAAACGGCTAAATGATTACTTTATTTTTTACAATTCGAAACTTGTTTCGGTTTGTTAACTTCTAAAAATTAATCATTAAAAACGATGTTAACTAAAAATTAGAGTCACCAATAGGTCCACTTTTAAATAAATAAATATATTATATTGTATTAATGTTATGAATGGAGTGGAGATGTTTTTATTAAAAATAAAAACTAAAAATTTTATTTATCCTAAAAATTAAAACGTTTTAACTTACCGTCATATTTTTTTATTAGAAGAAAAAAAGAAAGAAAAACTGATGTGAAAAAAACATTTTGTTTTTTAATTTTTTTTAAGGATTGATGAGTGGAACAAGATTAAGATAATATAACATTTGAAATTTCCATTCTTTTCTTTTCAATATGAAAAATGTAAGTCTCCAAAATCTTGATTAACTGCAACATAATAATTCATTACTATTAAATTGTGTAAGGAGGTAACATTTTGAATGAAGGTAGCTTCTACAATTTCTTAGGTTACTTTTCATTTGTTTGAAAACTAACCTGGCTTAAAGTGAATTTATCATTCCATAACTACGGTGACACAAATTATACTCGTTCCTCATTATTATACTTCTCTCAATTATCTATTTTTAATGACTATAATTTATTACTTTATCAATCTAAGGTAGTTTTTTTTTTTTTTTTTTTGCATGAAAAGTGAATGGTGAAAAAAGTGACTACTTAGAAATGAGAAAAAAAAAATCCTTCGTAAATGATAAAAATAAATAAATTTAACTTCAATTTATATATTTTACTTTTCATTTATGTATGCGAAGAAAAAAGTAAAATTGGTAAAAGATATAATATTTTATAAAACTATTCACTCTGCAACAAAGGTTATTCATTCTCCCACATTATTTTACTAGCTCAATTTAAATATTTTTACAAAAAGATATAATTTTATGATAAAAATTATTTTATAAATATATATAAGTATGTATTACTATAAAATAAAGATCTTAATCGAAAAGTGTTTTCATTCATAAAAATTAACTAAAAATTATATGATTAATTTTTTAATTGTATAAATATATAATTTTAATCGTAATTTATTATTTTTTATAAATATTTTTACTTTCCTCTCTCTCTCTCTCTCTCTCTCTCTCTATATATATATATATATATATATATATATATATTTAATTTTTTATTTTAATTTTTTCGCACACCTTCATATGGACCTTTAACAAATTAGCGTTAATTACTTATGAGTACATATTCAAATATATGTTAAAATAAAAGTAGACGTTATTATGTAGCACATTTACTTATATATTAAATTACATTTATTACATTCAATAAATTGGATGCTTATACATAAGAAAAATATTAGTATATATATAAATATAACATTGATAAAATTAACGGAGATATTTGGTGTGCAATTCATGAAAAACACAAAGTGTGAGTATAATAATAGATACTTTTGTTAACGCAGAGGGGGAATGCAGTTATACACACAAAAAATTAGGTTTTTCTAGTTAAAAAATTAGGTCTTTACACTATTAGTAATCTACTAGCTAGTGGTGAGAATTTTGAGGATACAAGCATGGGAACTTAGGTTTTTTGCTGTTGTACACAAAAAATTGCATTGTCATTGAAACAGGTTTTAGCTTTGGATTTAAGTTTCTAGTAGCTAAAATTTGTCACAAATATTAAAATAGAGATTTAAAAATAATCATTGCGTATTTTAGAAGCTAAAAGCTGTCAGAAATATGCATTTTTTTTCCTACAAAATATATAAGCTATTGTATCAATTTTTAAATGCAAATCTCTAATTTTCATGTAACTCTTACCAAAGCTCTTGTTTCACTGTAAAAAGAAAGTTAGGCAAATTAATTATTTAATTGTTAAATAAATATTTTATTGAATACCAATTCAAGAAAATAAAATAAAATAAACGCTTTTTTATTTTGAAAGAAAGGATAATAGTTCGAAAATAATATATATAATCAGTTAATCACCAAAATAATAATAATGTAATACATAATAATATTATTATTAATAATAGAAACACAGGTTCTAGTATCCACATTTTTTATATATTACATATTATACTTTATTTTTATATTTATATTTTACATATACAAATTATAATAATTATTAAATTATGACATTTTTTTATGATAAAAAATAAAAAAAAGTTATATATAATTATCTATAATTATATATATAAAAGATTGTAAAAACTTTTTTAATATCATAAAAATATTAAAGTGGAGAAAAAATAAACATATGTAAATAATAAAAAAGAAAGTAAAATAAAATTTAAAATAATTATAAAAATATAGAGACACGATCTAGCGATTATATATTGTTGTTACCTTTGAAAAAACGACTTTTCTTTGGTCGTCATCTTCCTTTTCAACCTTCGCTTCATCTTTCCTCTTCCTTCTCTCTGCAACTTTTCTGAGTTCATCACTTTCAGAAACTCAATAGTGAATTGAGCGAGCTGGTCCAACCGCAAATTGGTATACGAACCAATTCACAGTTTTTTAGGAAAATTTTCTATGCCTTCACACTTTCTTTCAGTATTTGCTTATCAGAAGAAAATGATAAGCTTGTCTTGAAAGAACAATCGGCACCACAAGATAAGAATTATTCACCACACATAAATAGAAGGGTATAATGGAATAAAGCAGCATATAATGTTAAGTTCAAAATGTCAAGCAATGTAGCAAAGAAATTGAAGATGTCAAGCAAACTGGTTTGTCATGAATGCAAAGGGAAACAAGGCAATGTTTTGTCCTTGAGCAATGTCTAAAAACACCATAATCAAAGGATCACTCCAAGTTGTTGCAGTTCAGAGCATCCTTGATTCTCAGGATAGTTGAGGTTAAAAGGGAGTTCACAGCAGCACCAGCTCTCCTATTTGGCATATTGGTTCCATCAGAACTGGCTAGTATTTGAAATGCCACAGTGAGCATTGAGCCTCCCAATCTATCAGAAGTATCAAATGCTCCCAAAGCTGCATTTGGATTTGGTTCACCATCTGCAGTGATGACAAAACCTGATGGAAGAACTGGTAACAGTGAAGAGTCTTCTCCGTTTATGGCCGAACTCATAGTTGCGACATCAGTTGGAGCATATACAACATAAGATCCCATGGGGCTTGTGAAACTCTCTTGAAGAATCAGTGCATTGTTCTCGCTAGGGATGAATGGCTACACATAAAAATTGAAGAGAAATTATTCAACAGTACTTGAAGAAACAATAATCAAGTTAGGGTTGTGTTTGTTAAACCCTAATTCGAAGTTGTGGCTACCTTAACATAAAGAATGCCTTATGACAATGTTGGTTTAATATAGTTGCACTAAAAGTTGTTGCAGTAAAAGTTAAACTAAACATGTCTTATAGCAAAATTGAAACATGAAACTAAAAGGAAGATTGGAATTACCCGAATAATAGATACACAGTTCCCAGGGTGAATTCCATTTGAGATTTGTGCAACCTTGTGTGCTTGATTTCCACAGGTAAGAACATCCCACTGTGTATAAGAAAGGATCAAGTAACTATTAATCATTCTGGAATGTGGATAACAAATACAAATTATTCTTATATAATAAATTAAAGGATTAGTCAGGTAGATTATTGTGAACCTGAGCGCGATTGTTATCATCCATGAAGAACTCAAAAAGTTTCATATAATGGAGAGGAAGCCAAATGGAGGTAGCAGCTGCAACAATCAGGCCACTTGGTTGACCAACCCTTCTGCTTTCGCGAATAGAGACCTTCACCCCGCCACCATTCTCCAAATCAGAAAGTGGAAAGTCCAAGCCATCCACCATGGTTATACATTCACAGAAGATTTTGAGCATACGATGAGAAAAATTCATTACACTCCTCCTTCCTTCAAGAGAATTGATCACTGAACAATGAATAACGTAAAATATTGAATTAGCTATAAACACATAATCATAAATCATAAAGCAACTATATAGATAGATATAAATGCACGAGTCTAAGGGTTTTGGGTGAATATAAGACAAAGTGTGACCTCCTGCAGAGTCATGATCAGGTATCTTTTCAACGTAAAAGGCAGCAAATCTCTCGCAAATTCTTTGAAGTTCCATAATCCACCTTTCAGCTCCATACGCAATGCCATTACCAATAATATCTTTGTATTGCTGATGTGTTTGGATCTTATCATCCACTTCCACATGCTCAATCCAAGTAATCTAACAGAAAAATAACAATATATTTTTGTTTAGTTTGTCTGAGAAAAAAAAATGGAATATGAATATTTGAACACACCACGGAAATAATTGGACTTAATCCCATGGTTTACATAAATACTATTGGAATTATATGATTATGTCATATCAAGTGAGCGAATCCTATGATAAAGATATAGAAGCGTTGTTTCTTAAACTGGATAAGCTGAAAATGTTTATTAGTTTTAGCACCAACCTAATTCTAACTGATGCATATAATAGTTAGCCACAGTAAAAATAGATTATAATTAACACTGATTAACTTTGTTTAAAATGTCCAAGATTTTGAAATTTGATCTTATACTAGCTAGTGTTACATTCATACATGCATACATAAATTTGTTTTCGATTCATAAATAGCCCTAGCAAGTAGTACAAAGCAGTGGGTGAGGTGAACCATTACATTTTCCCAGTTAGGCATTCAACTTAACAATGTCAATCATTTCTAGAATGGCCAAGCAGTGATGTAATTTTCACTAAAATTGTTTTCATATAAAACGTCTTTCTCAATAACATGTAGAGTATTTCAATCATATAGTTGAAGATCTACTCAAGTACTTCACTAATAAGTAAATTACTAACCATGGAGCACCCGTTAGGCAGTTCCTGGATCAAGCATCCAGAGGGGTGTTTCCAAGAGTGAAAAGTAGAGATCTTTTGCTGAAAGGAATCAAATGACACATCTGCTATCACCAGGCCTTCTTCAATTTGTTGACAGTAGCGAAGGAATTGAAATTCCCGAGGTTGCACAAAGGGTGAAAGAACATGCATTTGCTCGAACATCTGTGATAAAAGTATTGTCAACAAATTAAAAACTTATATTAAAGAGCTTAATTACAAAAAAAGAAAGGTTTGCACGAAAATATTTACCAACTGCAAGGCTCCACTTCGGTTTCCTGCCAAACCTCGTTCAACTACTTTCATTGTTTCTGCTTTTGAGACAATCGTTGGGAACAGATTAACCCATTTTTCCTGAAAAGATGGATTCATCATCATGCTCTTACGAGTATATATATGTCTTTGATGTAGATAGGCAATAGTGCAATATTAAATAAAAAATGAGAGCAATAGTCAACAGACTAGGGTTATGATACGCTCACCGAATCTAGAAACATGTCAACAAGCTGAACGCTGCTAATGCTCGCAATGCCTGATTCTTTTGTTGCTTCCACACGCACGTTGGCACCTTTGAAATGACTGGTCCTTGGGAACATTTTTGCATAGTTTTCAAGCTGAAGATTGAGCTTCCCATCATGAGTTGAAGACTTGACCCAGAAAGGCTCATTAATCCGAATAAGCCTAACTAACTCATCCATTGCAGCAGCAGCAACCTTAAACATAAGGGTTTTTTCAATGCAATCACTTGCATAAGAGTTATGGCCACTATCCATAACTTGCAAAGCAACATTTGGATCATGACTGGGAGTTCCATCAATCACTTGGTTCAGTGAATTCCCAACTGGTGCAGCATTTGAACTTGATCCTATGATGGGAAAAAAACCCTGTGGGAACTGATCAGGCGATATCATCTGGCTCTCCAAGAACCTTGACAGAAGGCGCGACACTTTTTCATGCTGAAAACAATTCATAAATATGTTATTTAAAACTTATATCCAGAAACCCTGCAGTTCTTCTGTTAAAAACAGTAGCAAGAAAACATTATATTCACATCAAATATAAAAGAAAGAATCAGCGGACGAGTTCAGTAACCTCTTCCTTTAGGTGAGCATTTTCAAGTTTCATATTATAGATAGCATGTTCACGCTCTCCTTCAAGACACGGGGGACCCCCACAAGCTGGGCAAAGCATACTCTTCAAAGCCTCTTGCATCGTAACATTTTCTGTGTGAATCCTATCATTCTCAATCCGAAGAGCAGTGTTATCTGCTCTCTCATGTTGATTCTTCAGGTAACATATACAAAATGGTCAGTTTTATATTAAACACAATATTATCTCTCTTTCCCTAAACCTGTCTCTCAAAGTTTTATAAAATGTTTTGTATAATCTTACTGTAGAAAATACACCCTCCCTAAAATTATCAGCACTAAGTATGAGCATATGTGAAATAGTTTCTAAATGAAAAGTACTAGAGTAAAGAAAATGAATACCTTGATTTGGGTCCTCTTATTCTGAAACCAGAACTTGATTTGCCTTGGCTCAAGTCCAATCTCAATAGCTAATTGACGCCGTTGGGCCTCATCAGGGTGTGGACAGTCCTTGATGAATCTTCATTTCAAAAATTAAACTTCCTTAGTTAGTTCTTTTTTAGCAACCTATGAAAAAGTATATTATATAAAGAAGTACATGAAATATCCAACTATTCCTGCTTAACATGATTTCAGTTCAAAAAAGTTGTCAATGTAACTTTAACAAGAGTAGTTAAGACATATACTCCCCTCCTACGGCCATAGCTGTAAGTGTGATAAGAACTTCAATATTGTAGCTCTCACAGTCAAGGGAAAATGTAAAACAGGAAATGCATTAAAAAAATAATTGAGACAATAGATGATCCAAACCATAAATCAATCCCAAAACACTTTGAAAATTGGTCTCCATTACCACAAATCAAGAGATAGATAATTATTGATGAGTAGATTATTTAAAATACCTAAAATTTAAGGAAAGAACAAGTGAGATATAGTTAAAGGTTAAAATGTTTGAATAGATTAACTAAGACTAAAATAAACAGAATAAAAATCAATTACATTTGATTAACTCGGTTGGAGAATTTTTATTTGTTTCATGAAATCATGGTGAGTTTGGGTATCCTTTATTCCTATGGTGATGTTACTGGTTAAAATGAAAAAAAAGAAAAAAGTCGAAAAGAACTCACCGGCTTAAACCAATCAAAATTTAATGAGTTAATTCAAAGTTCTTTAAATTACGATTTAACTCTATCTAAAGCTAAATAATATGCACAAAAGTTAATTTAACTTTAAGTTGTATTCTAATCATTTCAAATAATTTGTTATTTGGTATTTATGAAACCTTCAAGTAGAAATTATGAATTTAAATTAAATTTGATGCGTAGAGAAGGACAAACATTCATTTCTGAAGATAAAATAGTTCATTAAATATAATAATTATAATTACATATATAGATAAAAAATTTGACTACCCTGGCCAATTAAAAAAAAATTATTAGTGCAAATTATTAAAATTCAATAGATACATTAAATTAGGAAAGAAGTTAGATTTTGGGAGGGTAATATGGTGTATTATTGTATGAAAGTTGTGGAAATGTAAAATTTTCTATATTTTCAAAAGATTATATTTTATGTAATAATATTATACAAATTTTGGTCATGGATGAGACTCCTTCAAATATTCTTACTCTCAATAGATTTCTAGTTTATTTATTTGTTTATGTCAAATATAACATTCTTATTTAGTGTTTTTTTTTTTATAAATACGTGATTTGAATTGAGTATAGACTTGGTAAATAAAAGATCAGAATTTGGTTTTTCTAAACGACACTCTATTATTGATAAGAGGAGAGAATTTACATTTACATTTTTTTATACCTATAGTAATTAATAATATTAGTTTGTTAATAAAATTAATAAATAAAAAAAATAGTCAAAATATAAAAAAATATTGATGGGAAATAAACAAATTTATTGGTTAATATATTTGATAAAATAATTTAGTATCGATTTCACGATTGGGAATTAATCATATAATCAAGCACCAAAGGTATATCTTTGAAAAAAATTCAAGGGTTCATATGCTTTAGACTTCTATAAAATTGATTTTGAAAAAAAAAAAAACAATTGATTCGTGTTAGGGTTTCATAGTTTGAAAGCTAGTCGAGAAGAAGTGCTTTAGACTGAAAAGTGTGAAAATTAATTTTCGAATTATAAAGAATCACAGGCTAAAAAAGTACAATTGTGAAATCCCGCATCTAAAATCAATTTTACTTCATAAAAATTAAAATTTTCGATTTCTTTTGATCAAAATCGATTGGATCCACAGCAAAGTGGATTTTCCCTCCACAAAATTTGCCCAAACATGCATGGGTGTGGTACGAATTGACATCGGTAACATTAATCGTGATCCTAGGATAATAAAAAAGGACATTAAACAAAATTTAATAGAAAACCCCTTGACCAAATATATGAAACACAAAATTCAAAAAAAAAAAAATTAAAAAAATTTGGTGAAGCCAAGAAAAGCAAAATCAAGAGGAATTATGCATCATAAATGTGGAGAGAGATCTATTGAACACGATTTATGAAAAAAAAAAAAATACCAACATGCAAAATTAAATCCAAAAGGATTATGTGTCTACCTTTCATTTCTTTCACACAAAAGCTAGATGTTCCTCAAAATCAAGCAAATCAAAGTATTAATTGAATTGAAAGAAAATAATGTTAACCTAAAAGGGTGATTTTTAATTACCTTTCAAGTTTGGTTGTTTGAGCAGCAGTAAGACGTTTGTAGGAGGTTTTTCTTCCGTTGTTCAAGTTTTGAGAGCTTTCATCTCCAGACCCACCAGCACTTGCCATTGAAGAATCCATTTCTCAACAGGAGGGTATGCTCACACTACAATATTACAGCTCTTGCACATTTCTCAGCCTTTAGGGTGTTTATATATATGCCCCTAAGTCTTCACACCCTGGATGTATTTGCATCTATGACTTATCTCCACAAAAGTCAAAAGTAAAATAATAATAATAATATAATAATAAAAAGAAAGCAATAACTTTATTATTTTCTACACAACTTTTTTTGTGTGTGTGGAGATAAATACAGTTTTTTTATTAATATTTTCAGTGTAATATAATTTTATTTATTGATGATATGGTTGGAAAAATTATAAAAATTTCGTAATGTATGTTCATTAAAACCAAGTGAAAAATAATTGAGACTATAAAATAAATATATTATGTAAGAGTCCCTTTACATAGAGCTTGAATTATTTAGTGAAACTTACATAAAGACTACACAATAATAAAAAGTATGTTCAATATACTTTTTTACAAAATATATTAAATTTATAAATGATATATATATTCAGATTTTGAATTGAAGAGAAAATAAAAAGAAAGTTTTTTTGTTTTGAATTTTTGTCATTAAAAGATATTTTTTCTTTTTTCCAGTTTTTTCGTTTTTTCTTTAAGTGACAGAAAAAGTACCGTTGTCCAGGTTGCGTGTTCTCTTCTCCTTTCTTTTATCATAAATAAGCAACTGAAAATTACTAAACGTATAGTATTTTAAAAAGCAAAAATTAAATTACTTGTGTCTTTTCATTTATGTGTAATAAACGTTTTCTTTTCCTGTTAATATATATTTTGGTATAATAAATTTTTATTTTGGTTATATAATATTGTCTATGCAATAAGAGAAATAAATAAGTATTGCATCTTATGATAGATTTAAACATAACAAATATTCAAGTGTGCCTCAGAAGGAATGGATATAGCACAGTATATACAGTATATATGTTTTCTAACTCTGCACAAGTAAACATTGGAAAGAAAGAGTGGTAATTGGATCCCAGTTCTAAGTCTAGGGCATGACCAAAAACCAAAGGAGGACCACCTCTCACCATCTCATATGGTAGGACTCATAACAATCTAAGAGTAGTATGCTCCTTTTGTAGCCCTCATCTCCATCTGGTGTCAAACACTTAACAAAAAGACATAAAAAAGAGATCAAAGGTTTTATTTTGCTTCATGGTTCACCCTTAATCATAGAGAGCTACATCCAGTTAATTACTCAATCAATATATAAGTTTTCCACTGTGACAACCATAAAATCTAAGAAAAATTATACCATGAATACGTTTTGAACCCTCCAAGAAAACCAGAGTTTAAGGAACAAGATTATTTGATGTAGAACTTTCGCACAAAGCATACTTGATGAAGAATTTTTAAACATGCAGAGTTAATTTCATCTATAGAATGGGGGTGGTCCATGGACCACTCTATGATCTTTGATTCAATGAAGTCATACTGTATTTTACTAATTGATGTTGGATCAATACATGTAGAGGTTGTTCTGTATGTTTCTCTCTTAAAAAATATCTAAATTTCTGAATGAACTGATCTCATATGTGAGAATGAGAAATCCATGGCTTTTATAATTACTGACTTTCACTTGTGCTCCTAAGTATGGCCTTGCTCTCTCGATGAATTTAGATTTACAGTAAAAATTTAAGGTGCAGTTTTGTTTTAAGCCAATATCTACAGTTCAAGATATGATCAAACTATTGCACCCATGTTAGGGTACAAAGGGAAACAACATTTACAACTTCATGTGCAAATTTGTATAAGATCTTGCGTGAATGAAGTCACTACTTCTTCATGGTAGTAATAGATCTTTCTTTATGCTTTCTATAAATGCCAAGATAGTCTGAAACACATTTTTTAATCCAAGAGATGACCTAAACAACGAGGAACAAGTCAGAATATACATTAAAATATAAAAATAATCAAGTTTAAACATCCAAAACACAGCTAGAATGCTAAGCACAAATCTATAATATGTATCTTAAAATTGGTTTATCATCCATAACTATTGTGTCATCCACAAACTTGTGAGCAACAACTAATTTATAGCTATCAACAGTAGACAATTCAAAATTCACTTACTTGGCATGAGACTGAGTAATATATTTCCTAATATGTATGTGACCTTCATACTATTTATAACCTATAAGATCTGACTTACAATAACCTGCCAAGAAACAAGTATAACTATTTGGATTCCAAAGCCAAATTCCTATTTGAATATTTATTTCTTTGACATATTTCATGATGTACTTTACAACACAGAAATGAGATTTATTAAAACATAATTGCTATTTAAATCCCAAACTAAATTTAACACAGATAGTGTTTGGTTGGTCAAGTACACATTCAAGAAAGCTATCATTTTTCAGATTTGCAAAGAACTTACTCATTATTTTCAAATTTCAATTGCAAAACAATTCTCACGAGGGGATGAAGGTATGCCATAATATGTTCGTGTATGCTTCCTCATCTTGAGATAATTTTCAGGCAATAGTTTATCCACTTCCTTTTTAAGTTTTTCTATTTCCATAACCATGTTCTTTTTATTTTCCTCTGTCTATGTTAATAAAGTCTTCAATTAATTATTTTCTTGAAAAAATAACATTTTTTTTTCATGTAATTCTTCGAATTCTTGATGAAACTCATCATAATTATAAGATAAAAACCCCATATCCTTGACCCCTTCAAACCCACTTTCTTGGTTGACCCTGAGGCAAAGTTTGCTTGATCATTATCTTCCTTCTCACTGGATGAGTTCACGTTGTTATCATCCCCCAAGCACTAGGCTTTGACGGGAAAGCTTTTTTTTTTAACTAGGGCACTCATACTTGATGTGGTTGGGTGTAACAGGGATTATATATTCGAATGAAATAGAGAAATATGTATACTGTTATATGTATTACAGCTTAAAAGTCTAACTTTGTATAAGTAAGGACAGAAACAGTATCAAACTAACTGAAAAGTCATAGAATTATTGACGTCCAAATGCAACAAGATGGATAGGATACCTGTGATAGAAGAAGAAATATTCAGAGAGAGAAGATAGTATAAAAGATTTTCAGATAGTAAGTTACCAATTGCATGATTCTTTTCTCACACATATAGGCCCTTGATAAAACATTCATTCTCTTTTACCTCATGCTTTTTCTTTGTCCCTATATACAAGGATCGCATGCCACGTAGCTTTAATATATCTTTCTTAAGGTTCTCATGATTAAAATCTTTTTTCAAATGCATTGAGATGATTTACAACGTGTGAAATCAAGTTTATGCAGTTTTTATCCCTCTTATTTTTGAATCTCAGGAAATAAATCAAGAAAAAAGTTCCTAGTGCTAAATGTATAAAATCTTTGGGCGAATGATCGATACAGGGAGTCATAGAGATGATGTCAATTCTCTCAGCGAAATCAAATGAAAAGAGAAATAGAAACAATGAATTTTGCAGAAGAGTTGGTTGGAAACATATGGTTTTATACAATGAAACAAAACATGGAAGACGACGAGCTTTATCTAAATCTGTGATTCGCACAACATAAATATTCTGTCTTAAACTTTTGGGTAAAAGATGATATTATATTTGTTGGAAATATGAATAAGTGTCTATTATTAGAATTTATTAGAGCATTATTAAAATTTCTATTTTCATAAGTTCTAACTATGAGTGATAATGGGCATTTAAAAGTTTTAACGAGTAGTTTTAATTCAGATTTCTATTCAAATTAATAGGTGTAATTATTATCAATTTTCACTTGTATTTAGATTGTATTTAAAAGTTATCAACGTGAAATAAATATGTGATCAGTTTTCAATTCTAAAAATATTATGAAAACTAGTTATATAAGAGTTTTATTTGTTATTGAGGGAGCTGGTGATGGCTCAATTTTTATACTACCAATTTTTTAGGGTAAAAATTATCATTTATGAACCATCAGAATGAGTTTGATCTTTGGGAGACTGTTGAAAGAGGATTATGAGTTTGATCATTACCTGATAATTCATCGCTCAATCAAATAAAAAATTACAAAAGAAGGAAACAAAGAAAATAAAAAATAATGTCGTTTTTAATTTTTGCGGTTTCTCCAACCATCTCTATTAGAATTGTGAATCTGAAGTAAGGAAAAGCCATATGGAATTTTCTTAAACTAATAATAAGAAGGAAAATGAGTGAATCAAATCAAAGGTGTGCAATTGTTGAAGAATTTGAGATGTAACATATGAAGGAGTAAGAAAAAGTGAAAGAATATTCTGAACAGACTTCTAAGCATTTTCAACAAGGCGAGTTTGCTTGTTTGAACATAATTTTTTTAATACAAAGATAATGCAAAAAGAAATTTCTGTGTGATGCATTTATAAAATATTGTTTGTTTTTAAGTTTTCAGTCCATTATAATTTTGTCTTTAAAAGATATTTTAATAAATTAAAAAAATATATATATTTAAATTATCATTAATTTAATTTATAAGCGATGTGAGATTAATAAACGTCCTTAAATAGTATACTACAAGATCAAAGGAAATTCATTAAGAAAGAAGACATGATCGAAAATATTTTACATACCAAAGTGAAACTTGGTTTCAAAGGTTCAAAGAAGCAACTTGTGGCAAGAGAAAGTAAGAAAAAGAAGTCAAATTATCCTCTCAGTATTGTGAAAAAAGAAATCATCTTTATTTTAAACGTTGGAAGAGACTCGATGTATGCTGGAACATTTGCAACCAAGTTGGTGTCATATTGTAAGTTTTACAAGAACAAAATGCAATCTCAAACTGAGGTTCAAGTGGCTGATTGTTTTACTATCAACAAAGTTGGTTGATTAACGTGAATGCACACATCTTAATTTTTATTTTGAAAAAAATGTTGATGAACCAATAAAGAGAACCTGATTACTTTATATTTTGAAAAGTGTAATGGTGTTGTTTTAGAACCTTAACATGATTGAAAATAATTGATTCTTACTCCTCAATACAAAAATGTTGCTAGTGGTGTTCAATGGATGTTTAGAATCAATGTAAATGATTTCATTGACAAGCATGTGGTCAAAATCTTGTAGTGAAGAAATATGCTCAATTATTTGAAGTTGAGAAAAATGTTGGAAAAATGAATCAATGTCTATTATTAAAGTTTATTAGAACACGGTTGAAATTTCATTATAAGTTTTAATTATATAGGTGATAATATTTAGTTGTATTTGTATTGTATTTAAAGGTTGTCAATACGAATAAAATATGTCATCATTTTTCAACTCTTAAACAAAATATTAATTAACCTAACAACATTTGTCAATATCTTTCGGTTGTTGTCTCCTTTAAAATTCTAAATTGTATAAAAATCAAGTTTGTTCTGAATATTGATTCAATTAAACATGATACGGAATAGATGTATCCAAGATTATGGATTCTGAGAATAAATGAATCTATTCATCAATATTTCCTAGTTGTTGCTACTGTCCATTGAAATACCTAACAAAAATTTGAATTCTTTCAGTGAAATTTATAAATTTTAACCTCGCTTATTATGCAATAACAACATAAGTAGAAGGGTTTTAAGAAAGTAAAAAGTATATCTAAAATAGTATTTAATTATTAGATTAAAAATAAATAAAATATTCTTTAACTTTAATTTTTAAAGTACATGAATCCTTGTTTTTTCTCTATAATGAGTTATAATTTTATTATCTTGGGATAAGCACTTATTTGTTGCAAACAATCAAAATCAAAGTATAACTCATCTTAGAGAAAAGAAAAAAAATAATCATTTTCAAGAATGAGAGTGAAAAAAACTTATTTTTCATCATTTGTTTTTTAATATAATAATTAAGATGAATTACTATTTATATAATTAATTTATAAAAAATAATAAGAATGAAAAATAAGTATCTATTTCTTATTTTTAAAATAAATGAATCTATATATATATATATATATATATATATATATATATATATATATTACATTCTTTTCATTTATGCTTGTGATTAATTTATGTTCATAATGCTTATTATGTTTGGAAAATCATAACTTGGTTTTAGATAAAAGATTAATTGGAAAAAAAAATCTAGAAATGAATTTTGAATGACTTAGATTTCTAAGAAAATAGTTTGAATAATTGATTGTTATTTTTTTTTAAGGGTGATCTTAATGATTATAAAGAAGTAATATTTATTAAAAGAAGTTGGAATCAAATTCATGAAAAGATCGATAATTATTGAAACTAATTAATAGGGCATGATATTTTTTTAAGTTTGTTAAGTCAAGAGATTTTTTTTTTATCGTCAACAAATAATAAAATTAATGGAAGTACAAAAGGGTACTTCAACTCATATACATCAAAAAGAAATAAAATTAACAAAAGAGCAAAAACATGTTGAGTTTAGCACTATTCAGCCCACTGAGTTCCATGAACACAATTTTGATGGTCCCAACATTATGAAATGAGACTAATTTCTACTATGGTCCTATCATTAACAAAGAATTTGTCAATACTAATAGATGGATCTAATGATCCCCGGATGCTTCAGCTCTCCTTCACCTTGTAAAGGTTCTCATCATTATATTAGAGTTTCATGCTTTAACCTGCTAAAATATATATCAGTCATCACATATTAAAGAGAATCTATATAGTAATTAGTCTCATGCATCTTATCGGTTTATAGAACCAGTTTGAGTTTGATATACTCGCTCCATCCCAGTCTCTAACACACCAAGCTATGAATTTTGCGCTTGCTTTACTGAATCCTACTTCTGCGTCAAATTTCTCATTTTTAAAAATGCACTTATTCCTCTGAGACCAAATCTCGTATACCACTGCTACCCATAGTCTTTTTCACAACATATTTCCTTTTACTCCTAGTCCTCCTAATACGAAACTTTCTAGGTTTGCTTTCGTCTCCCAATGACACACATAACTAATTCCCACCCATCTAAAACACTTGTCCCAAATCTCACTGGTCACTTTACATTTAAAAAATAGATGGCTAGATGTTTCGTCCTTGTTTCCACATAAAGCACATTTCAGATCACATATAGCAACCCCTCTCCTAACTAGATTCACCTTAGTAGGGATCCTATCCTGAAGAATTCTCCACCCTATAGCCATGACCTTTGGGATCCCCTTAATTTTCTAGTACCATTTGAAGATCGTTTCGTTCTCCTTGTAACACTACAAGAAAAACACCAAATAGTGACCGAAATTAGTGACTGAAAAATTCAGTCACTGATAGTAACTGAATCAGTGACTGATTTCCCTTTTTATATTTAGTGACTGATTTAGTGACTAAAATTTCAGTCACAGATATCGGTCACTGATTCAGTCACCGAATCGGTCACTGATTCAGAAGTTACATTAGATAAAAGCTCGTAAGCTTCTTTGACAGTATATCCTTTATCATTGTTCTGGCCCCATCGCCATGTATCTTCTGTATCCTTGTAAATTGTTATGCCCTGGATCATACTTAGCATTTCCTCCTCCATTTCTTTCTCTCATTCAAATCGTTGTCTTCTCCAATTGACTCTCCATTCTCATTTATTGTCAATCCACTCACCCTGTTCTGATATCACCCCTTCCTTGTTCACTCCTATTTGTTTCAACGGTGGGAACAAGCTACCTAAGCTTTGTTCCCCGACCCAAACATCATCCCAGAACCTAATTTTCTCGCCATTTCCTATCTTCCATTTTACAAATTTATCAAACCAAGTTCTACCAGCGTTATCTTTACTTATTCTTTTTATATCTAGCCACCATTTTGAGTACTTCTTAATGTTTTCTGGTTCATCTAATGCTCTCCAAGACCCGTATTTGGCTTTTATTACTTCCTTTCATAATTTTTTTGGTTCGACACCTAGCCTCCATTTCCATTTTGCTAGCAGAGCTTCGTTCATCCTCTAAATGTCCTTCACCCCTACCCCTCCATCCTCCTTTCTTTTACATATTTTTTGCCATTTAACCCACACTATTTTTTCCCCTTCTTTACCCCACCCCCAAACAAACTCCCTTTGGATCTTTGTTACCTCTTTAACCACTCTTACTGGCATTTTGAACATCGATAGGTAAAATAATGAGACCGCTGAAAGAACCGGTTTTACCAGACATATCCTACCTGCGAAGGAGAGCATTCTACCTCTCAACCGAGAGTTTTTTCTTTACTTTGCTTAGAACTTCATCCCAAAACTCATACTTTCTATGATTTCCTCCAACTTTCAGCCCTACGTATCTGAATGGTGGTTTCATTGTCTTACAACCTAACTCTCTTGCATATCTTTCCAGTCATACAGACTCAACCTCTATACCTCCTACAAACTAAGTATTAGAAATATTAAATGAAAAATCTTGTTCATTAATCTCTAATTTGTGTAATATCATATTTTGATAGTAGAGATGGATAAATCTTGAAATACCTAAAATATTAATTTGATTCATGTTAACATGCAATACGCGTAGGTTTTTACCAGGCATTAACATCACTAGTGTTTATAAATGAGTTGTGTAATACTCGATGATACCAGTAATGACACTTCTATGTTTGTGCGAAGGATGATATTAACCAATAAAATACCATGAAATTATATAAGAAAATATATAATCACATTCCATCTAAAACCATCCTGGTCTAAATAAGTGCAGTCTTAGCTCAAGCATCAATTTGGCCTTAGCCACATCTTCTACTCCAAAGCATCAACTTCTGACCTTGCATACTCTTCATGGATAATAGTCATATGTTAAAAAACATTCAAATAAATGAATAAACAGTAACAGATTTGTAGTAAAGATGAAAATGAGAAACCTCCTTCAATCTCATAATTAGCTACCATTGTGGTTGATGAAGGGTCACTAGTATAAAACCAGGTTTTGTTTTTACATATCTTATTTTAATCTTTTTATGTCAAACACATATCTAACGTTAATATAGAAGTAAATTTATGTTGGACATAATTACCAATCGAATCAAGAATATATTCGACGTAAATTTATGTTAAACCATGATATAATCGACAAATCTAATGAAAATTTTGTCTTTTTTTTAATATTTGATTTGTTTTGTCTTATAGTCAATCTAAATTCTAGATTTTCAATAAACACTAATTCAAAAATACAAAAATACAATAATACAATACAATATAATATAAAATTAAATTAGTACACAGACTAAATTAACAAAATCTAAACTAGCTAGTATAAAAACTAAACTACACAAATGTTAAATTACATGATATAATATAAACAATAACCTACAAACTAAGTACTAGAAATATTAAATGAAAAATCTTATTCATTGGTCTCTAATTTGTGTAATATAATATTTTGATAGTGGAGATGAATAAATCTTAAAATACTTAAAATATCAATTTGATTCATGTTAACATACAATATGCATAGAGGTAAATGAACTTAACAAATATTAAAAATAACTTTCTGTCCAAGAATCACTTATACGTATACAAACTATGAATTTCATCAAATACATGATATAGTTATTACAAAACATAATGTTATTTTTAAAATTTAAATATAGGAATATAACATTTTTCTTTTTTTAACACTACTTTTGTCTATTACATGTTAGAATCATATTTTACAAAAAATGTTGGGACAAATACCCTTTTAAGTATTTGTCCTCTCTTCTTTGTTTTCTTTTTTCCTTCATTTTCATATGATGTACGTTCAAATCCGACATTGGAGTCAAAACTTATCCTTCTTCAAACATTTTTTATTTTCTTTTTATCATCATAAACCCCTAAACCTTATACACGGTAATGTCCTCTCTTCACATCATACTATATTATTTTCTTTCTTATTTACTCATTACTATTATATAATTAATATACAAACTACAAACAATAAAAAATGTAGGATTCAAACAATTAAACCATAAAAACATAAAAATACATTGTATCAATCGTAAATTTTGTTCAAAGACATAAAGGATAATCACAAACTACATCGAGTACAATTTTAATAACAATATAGTTTAGACATTTATGCAATAATATAATTAAGATAAAAAAATTACGAATTGAATTTCAATATAAAAGAAGAGACACATAAAACACTAACCTCAAATATAAAAAAATGCTTTAAAAATCACATTCAATTAAAGAGAAACGTTAATTACTACAAATAAGATACAATGTAAATCTTTTCACACTCGTTATGATCAAAATGTATCTTGAGAACATCATCACTCAAAAATCCCCTACATGTAGAGAAATACAGAAGTCATACAACAATTAAAATGCGATTTTTATATGGAATCTCATCAGAATAAATGTGAAAGTTAGTTTTATGTCGATTAACCTAAAAAATAACTTTTACATTTATCTCTAAAAAGTTCAATGTAAAAATACTGTCCCTCGTTTATAAAAATGACATCGCAATTTTTATGCCTTAAAAAATTATTTTGCAACAGTGATTAAATCTTTAATGCATTTGTTGAAGTTCCAGATAGTTTTTTTTTTTTTTTTTTGTCTTTTAGTACGCAGTATTGTTGTTAACAAGATATTTGTACAGTATTTTGATACCACTGAAGGAACCTAGAAGGAAAGTATATAATATAACAATAAAAACTTGTTTGAATATGGAATAAAACTAAAGAAAAAAATCATATTTTTTATTATTATAACATAATATATATATAGTTTATTATCTATAAAACTATTAATAAATTCAATTCGTTGTTATTATAAACACAGTAACTAAAACTTAATAAAGTAGATAACATGATGTTTTCTTCAGTTTATTTCATCTCATGATTTATTCGGTTTTTTATTTTTAAAACCAATAAACTACTTTTATATTATACGTTAAGAAAAAATTCTTCTAACCAATAAATGTTGACATCGTTAACATATAAATGACTTTATTTAACATTTATTTTTATTTTTTGTTATGAATAATATATTAATTTTAGTGTGGGAGAATATTTATATTACTGGGAATTATTTTAAAAGTTTGAATTCTGATATAGTATTTCATAATATACAAAATGTAATTAATGAAAGATTATTGAAAATAATAAATAATATTTAATTCTTATAAGCTTTACTGATTAAAATTTCATTTGTGATATAAGTGTTTTTTTGGTGGATATTAAATATGTGCCTTTAATATAAATATCAATAACTAATAAAATGCATTGAATGAATTTAAAATATTGAATATTTTAGTTAAGCAGTTTAAATAGTTTCAACATTATTTATATTTTCTTAATATATGTTATATCTTTCTTATATGAATGTAATTAATGTTTTATACTTTTTTTATAAAAAATGATATAATTAAATTATAACATTTAATAATTTCTAATTTTAAATAATAAACCAACAAATGCCTTTTAAAATATAAAGAAAAGCAAATGTAAATAAATATTTTCATTATTCTTCAATACGATACACACGCATATCCTGATATAAATTAATTAAGTTTTAGAAAAAATAAAAATCGCCTCTTTTAATTTTATTTTTAAAAATGGACATGTATTATTTAAAAATGTAACAAAAAATGCAGATTAATTATTTGACTACTATTTCTTTAACGATGGACATGCATTACTTTGTGTAATTAGTGCAACAGTGTACTGCACTTAGAAGAGTTTATTACAGTTTATTTAGATTTAGTTATTATATAAAATGTGTCTGTAAATATTTTAAAAGTTATATAAATAGTGTATGATATATGTTTATAGGTTATTTATTATTTGTATTAATAAACCCTTCAAAATAGCTTACAAATTATATAAAATAATTTTATTTACATTCTCAATTATAAAAATGGAATTATATAAAATAACTGTTCCTACATAATTTGTGTGTGTGGAGATAAATAGCATTTTTTATTAATATTTTCTGTATATTATAATTTTATTAATTGATGATATAGTTGGGAAAATTATAAGAACTACCCAATGTATCTTATTAAAACCAACTGAAAAATAATTGAGAATATAAAATAAGAGTTGCTTATTATAGATCTTATTTATGAGTGACTTAGTTATAGTTATTTATATAATCAAATTTCTTTTAATTTTAAACCATTTTATCCAATTTTAAACCACTTGGATATATAACCTATAATAAAATATGTATTCTTGTTAGTAACTCTCCTTCAAAATACTACATAAATTCTTTAAAACAACTACAACAGAATTGTTTATGGCCCAGGTGCTTATAAACAAGTGCTTATAAGAAATTACTCTTGGAGCAATCGGACGTGATAATTTTGAAAAGTTAAATATCACATCTTGTAGAAAGCAATATTTTTATTGTTTTTTTTAATTTTTTTCAGTTGGTTCCTGCATTCTTCTCCAACAGAATTCAACAAATCAGAAAGGAATGTAAAATTATTTTTTTATTGTCATTGTTGTTTAATATTTTATATTTTAATTAATGTTAATCGTATTTCCAATATTAGTTTTATTTTTAATTTTTTTAATTTAAATATATTATTTATTTTATTTTAATAATTAATTATATATTATAATTATTAGTGACGTTGTATAACGAGTTCTATTAGAGTCAAAAGTCATAGTTGAATGATGAGTTATTTATAAGAACTTATAATTAGAATAAATTTATAAAAATTTAAAAAAAATTACTTAACTATGATGTGATATTATGAGTCCCACTTAAAAATTCAATATGAATTTTTATAAGAACCAATCATTAGAGATATTCTTAGTCAAATTTACATAAAATCTACACAATAATAAAAAGTATGATTAATATACTTTAAAAAAAATATATTAAATTTATAATTCTACTGATATGATATATATTTAGATTTTGATGGAAGAGAAAATAAAAAAAAGTTTTTTATTTATTTTTGTCATTAAAATATATATTTTTTTTTCTAGTTTTTCAAAAAAAAAATACCATTGTCTAGCTTGCGTATTCTCTTTTTCTCTCATTTATCATAAATAAGGAACTGAAAAATACTAAATTTTTAATAATTTAAAAAGCAAAAATAAAATTGCTTGTGTATTTTCATTTATGTGTAATAATAAACGTTTTCTTTTCCTTGTTAATATATATTTTGGTATAATAAATTTTTATTTTGGTTTTCTTATTGTGAAGACTGGAAGATGTTCCATGATATCATGTCACTTTCTACACTGAAGACTTTATTTTAATTTCATTTTATAACAACATCTATTTAATTTGTTGACTAAAATACTAGAATTTTGTACATTTTCAGTATAGCTTGTATAACCCCACACACTCATATATCATCACTTCAACCTAGTAACAGCTAGGTGCTATAGAAAAAAACAAATTACAGAGATTAGAAAAATAAGAAAATGTATTAATGAAAAAGGTTTATTATTCTTAAAACTCAGAATAACGGTGGCTTTCCTATCCTTGCATTTGCAGCAAGCACATGACAACTCATCTGCATGCAAAAAGGGAGAAAAACTGGGAAAATATCAAACTAAAATACAAAACTCATTGAAACTGAATTTCAGACTTCGAGAATTGAAACGCGGGTTTGGCTTAGGATTTAGAGAAATATGGAATTGGTGGGTTCAGTTTTGACATTAACGTTAAATGGTAGGAAAGTATCCACAGTCTACCGCGTTATATAAGTTATGATAATATAATTTATATTAATTTGAATTTGAATTTGTATTATCTATTTAAAATTTTTCATTTATCTCGATTTTATTTTTAAAAATGTCTCATTGAATTGAAAAAAGAAATATATATATAAATTATCTCCTAAACAATATAAGATTTTATTATCTCCTAAACAATATAAAATTTCATCAGCATAGCAGAACATGAGTTTTTTAGATAAAAATTAAAACTCTATTCTTAACATTACGATAAACGTCAATGTTTAGGGTAATTTCAGGTATTTTCCCATACGTTAATGCTATACACGGACGAATATTGATAAATATTTAGTGTAACTTTTATAATGAATTAAAAGTCATATCAGAAAATATTAATAAAAGTTTAATTGTAACAAAATCAAATGACTTTAAATTAATAAATATGAATAAATTGATTACATACAATTGAAGAGTTTGTTTAAACAAAACTTATTAAAAAATTATATGGAAAACTATTACAAAAGTTTTTATAATGAAATAAACCTGTGTTGAAGGATATATTAAATTTAAATAATTAATGTGTCACTACTAAACTGTGTTGCTGAATTTTTCTTTTCAAATATTAACGCATTTACTCTTAATTTTAAGATATAAATGGAAAGAATAATTGTGAAATAAGTTATCAAGATTGACCTTAATTTGAGAAAAAAATATCTTTTATTATTATATCATAATATATAGATAGTTTATTAATCTAAAAATTATTAATAAATTTAATTCATTGTAATTTTAAACAGAGGAACTAAAACTTATTTTAAAAGTAGATAAAACAATGTTTTCTTCCGTTTATTTCAACTCACGCTGAAAAAAAATAAACTTCTTAACCAAATAAATGTTGACATCGTTAACATATAACTGACTTTATTTAACATTTTTTTTTATGAATAATATATTGATTTTAGTGTGGATGAACTTTTATATTTAGTTGTGAATGACTTAATATGGATACATACATTATTTCAAGGGTTTGAATTCTGATATAGTATTTCATAATATACAAAATGTAATTAATGAAAGATTATTTTTACACTTGAAAATAATAAATAATATTTATTTCTTATATGTTTTACTAATTAAAATTTCATTTGTGATATAACTGTTTTTTTGGTGGATATTAAATATGTGCTTTTAATATAAATATCAATAATTAATAAAATGCATTAAATGAATTTAAAATATTGAATATTTTAGTTAAGCAGTTTAAATAGTTTCAACATTATTTATATTTTCTTAATATATGTTATATCTTTCTTAATTATGAATGTAATTAATATTTTATATTTTTTTCATAAAAAATCATATAATTAAATTATAACATTTAATAATTTATAATTTTAAATAATAAACCAACAAATGACTTTCAAATTGATAAATAAAAACTATGTAAATAAATTTTGTCATTATAATAAAAGTTAATTAAGTTTTGGAAAATAATATATAATACGATGAATCAATTTACAAATTTCATATAATGTGTTAAAAATAAAGCAGAAAAAAAAATTGTATTTGAAAAAGTACGAGGGTGAATTTAGAAAAAATAAAAACTGCCTCTTTTAATTTTATTTTTGAAAATGGATATGTATTATTTAAAAATGTAACAAAAAAAATGCAGATTAATTATTTGACTACAGTTTCTTTAAACATGGACATGCATTACTTATAAAAGTAATGCATGTTCACATCTTTATTTAAATTTATTAAAATTTAATATGTTTATTTTATTTATTAGATAATTATTTTAATTATACAAATTGATTTACTCGATTATATAAACTTATTGATTATTTGTAAATTATTTATACATCCTCTACCATTTTATGTGTAATCAAAGTAATTATTCAGAAATATGATGAATAAATTGATAAAATATGCATTATTTAAATAGTTTTATATATGTGATAATTAAATTAAAATAAAGCATTTATGATTTTAATAAAGCATTTAATATGTTTCTGTTACTTATGATTTATTGATAGTGACAGTGTGGATCCATAGGAGTAAAACTGTTAGTTACAATAATAAATAACTTTGAAAAACTCATAAAACCCTGATTAATTTATTTTGAAAACCTCTCAAAACCCTGTTAGTCATAATTTTTTTCAACTACTACAATTTATTATTGCTTCCGTTTATTTTTAATAGTTAATTTTTCTAGAAAAAAATGTATTTCTATATATATATTATTTATAAAGTTTAAAATTATATTAATTTTTTTTATCAATTTTACCTTTATATCTTTTAAATTATATTTATTGTAGAGAGAATATAAAAAAATTATTATAATCATTTTTGAATGAAATAAAAATATTAAAATGATAAAGTATTATTGGAAAAAAAGTTAAGAAATTTATTTAAAATAATAAAAGTGATTTTTTTCTTTATCTATATTGTCATACCTTAAAAGATATATATTAAGAAAAGAAGTATTATTATTGTCATACCTTAAAAGATAAAATTTGAGTTTTTTAATCCATTGCCTATAAAAAAACGCAAACCAACCTAACTTGGTGTCATAATTGTTTATTTATTTTACATGTTTGGTTTGGACAAGCTAAAATGAACCAAACCAAATTCGATCACACTCCTATTAAACATTAATTCATATGAAATGTTTTTTTAACAAAAATATAAGATTTTTCATACCTTTATTAATTGAATTTTGAAGCAAGATAATCACTAAAACACTTAGAATGAGATGAAACAAAAATTATTGTGACAATCTCTCAATTCTAACAAGCTTTAGCTGTATTAAATCCATTTTTTCCCCTAAAACTTTACTCTGAAAAGAAATAAGGGCAAACCATGATACATAGGTTTGATTATTGCTACGTTAGTCGTAGATAAAAATCATTTTTTTCCCCTTCATATAGAATAAAAATATACTTAATCAAACAAAAAATAAAGTATGCATGTGTAACTATTTCATCTTTTCATTATGCAAAATGCCACGTAAACATGATCCAACAAATGATGGAAGAAGTAAAACTTCCATTACTACTATCATCTTTCATCTGGAAAGGAAAAATCACTAGAACTTCAAATTGGAACCACGTATGAGAGCATGGTTTATGTTTTTCACTGTTGAGGTCATGAGAGAGTTAACAACAGTCTTCGATTCTGCTATCATGGTTGTTGGACTATTCATCAGTATTTGGAAAGCCACAGTCAACAGAGAACCATATGTTCTTGTATCAACATTTGCACTACTCGATGCACAAGCATTTGCAATACACCGTCCATCCTTTGAGATGACAATGCCGGATGGAAACATTGACATCGTTGGTGACTCTTCACCATTTATACTCATCTTCATGTCAGATATATTAACTGGGGAATATACAACATATGATCCCAAAGGATCAATACAACTTTCTTGAATAATCGCCATTTTATTTGCAGTTCGTTGGACGGGCTGCTTCACACGAATGATCAAATCAGGTCATATCAAAACAAGTAACAACAAAATTGAGGATTTGATTATTCTTAAAAGGTGGATCAAAGCAGACATTCGTTTACCTGAATAATTGATACATAGTTGCTAGGATGAGTTCCAACAGAGACACGAGCAATCTCTTGCACGGGACTCTCATAACACATAACATCCCACTGTAAAAAGATAATAAATGAATGGATGACTCTACAATGCAAAATTTATAACAAGTAGATGAATTGTATGCTGATAAAATAGAAGAGTGGGTTGCTTAGTTTGCGAACCTTTGCACGGCTTATTGGATCTCTGAAGAAGTCAAAAACGTTTTCTGAAGGGAGTGGAAGCCAAAAAGAGGTTGTTGCAATGAATATAATCATGACATTTGATTGGCTTGAGTTTCTGTATTTCCGAGCAGCAATCCTAATCCCAGTACTCTCCTCAGCCAAATGTTCGAGGAAGTCTGTCTTATTTGTCATGTTTAAAATTTCATGGAAGTTTTTCACCATTTCATGAGAAAACTTCATCATTCTTTTCCTTCCTCCAAGAGTAGTGATCACTGAAAATTGATGACATATATAATCTTAGATATACAAGTTATGGATTAAAAGATGATATAAGCAACGAAGAGAGGAAGGCTTCTATTGTTAGATGATAAATATTTACTAATTAATGGTCACGTGTTAAAACAAATTAATGAATAAATACTAATTAATAGGTTTGAAATAAAGATGAAAATCAGTAACCTCCATTGATGTCATAATTAGGTGTGCATTCTGCTCGAACACTGATAAATCTTTCGCACGTTCTTTGAAGTTCCAAAAGCCATCTTTCTGCTCCATATGCAATGTTGTTGTTAACGAGATCTTTGTATAGTTCATGCGTTTTTATCTTCTCATCCACTTCCACATGTTCGACCCAAGAAATCTAGAAGGAAGTATAATATTACAGTACAAGTTTCTTTTAATTATCATTAGTGGCTTCAAAGGAGTAAAGTGACTCACAAATTATATATGTACTCACCCAACACAAGTCATTAGAAACTTCATGAATCATGCATCCAGAAGGAAACCTCCAATATTTAGGATCATTATTATCCCCCCTCGTGCAGTCAACGGAAACATCTACTATCACCCATGAATGTGCTTCAACTTGTTGACAGTAGCGAAGGAAGCACAATTCCCGGGATGGAACTAATGGTGAAAGAACATGCATCTCTTCACTCATCTACAAAAGCAAAACAAAAAACGAGGTATTGCCTTGTTATATAAATTGAAATATCGTAACAAAGAAACTTGTTACGTAGAGCAAGGTTTTGCATGAAAATATACCAACAACAAAACTCCACTTCGATTTTCAAATGAACCATTTTCAAGTACTTCGATTGTTCGCGCTTTTGTAACAATTGTTGAGAAAATATTTGCCCATTTTTCCTATATAGATAAAAAAAAACATCAATATGATTAATCCTACAGATGGAGAGAGAGATTTTAATAAACTATATGCGAGTGAAATATTAAAGTTATAATAGTACTAACCGAATTCAAAAACATGTCAACTAATTCCATTGCCTTAATTCTGACAACTCGTGAATCTTTTGATGATTCCACACGAGCTTGGGAATTCTTGAAGTGATTAATCCTTGGAAAGAATGTTTCGTAGCTTTCAAGATGAAGAACATATCTCTGACTATTTGAAGATTTGACCCATATGGGCTCATTGGTGCACAAAAGCTTAAGTAATTCTTCCTTAGCAGCCACTGCAATATGTGACATCATTGCCTTTTCCATTTGTGTTATTTTTCTCCCAGGGTTGGGCATGGTATGTTCATTCTCAAATGAACGACTTATTGAGCCACCTAGATTCACACGAGCACCTCTTAAAGTTCCTAGTTTTAGAAAACTTTCTGGCAATGGACAACGTGATGAAGATCCCCTCTTAAGAGAGGACTCCATGTTTAGTTCTAAGATTGGTTTATCCATGTACTTTGCAAGAACACTAGACACCTTCTCATGCTGAAAACAATTAATAAATATATATGAATCATATTATAGCTCTTTATCAAGAAGAGAAAAAAAACACATTATTCTCCAAAATGAATATAACTAACCTCCTCTTTAAGACGAGCATTTTCAAGACGAAGTTGTTCCAGAGAACGTTGACGCCTTTCATCGACATTAGATGGACCCCCACAAGATGAACACATCATATTTTTCAATGCCTCCTTCAATATGAGGTTATCTTTACGTATTCTTTCATTCTCAGTGCGAATGATACTGTTATTTGTTCTCTCAGTTTGAGTCTTGAATCAAATGCATGGAAAATTGTTATATCACTTCTGGAATTTTTTAATAAAGTATATGAAAGGAAAAATAGATAAATATAGATAGATTTGGATTACCTTTATTTGAGTTCTCTTATTCTGAAACCAAAATTTTACTTGCTTCGGTTCAAGCCCAAGTTCTTCGGCTATTTGACATCTTGTGCTTTTACTTGGATGTGGACACTTGCGGAACATTCTTTGATTCAAACATAAAGATCACAGTTAATACAGAGAGTATTGCAATATGAGTTGAATGACAAATACCCCTAAAAAAGAATCCTTTTTCATACATTTTGAAATTGCATAATTTAAAATAAATTTTTATTGTAAACCAATCTTATATATATTTGGTTGGTTTAGTTCAAGTTTCATACTCAAATTTGCTCAAAACAAACCAAACCAATCAACTTGTGCTATACAATTGATTTGAATATCTAAATATCCAAAAATCAACACTAACTAATTTCATTACATCCTCATAGATCTAGGTACATGTACAATAGTTCCTAATATCCTAAAAAAAAAAAGTACCAATTAAGAATAAGGTATTTTAAAATTATCAGTATCTCTCTCAAGTGTCTCATATTAAAAAACTTAATATCACATTAATGGAAAATTTTCTTTTCTTTCAAATTTATTTGAATGTTGTTTTCTCTTATATATATATATATATATATATATATATATATATATATATATATATATAATTTAAGATAGAAATTAAAAGGTAATAGATAAATATACTGATAATTTGAATTCAACTTGAAAAACATCTTTAGCAAGTTAAAATGTTCTCAGCATACAAAAGTATTGAAATGTATAACCTTCTTTATAAGCCGTGGATCTTTTCGAAAAGATGGCAGCAAATAAAATAATGTTCAAATTAACTAAAATTTATGAGAAAATTTAAAAATAATTATAAAATTTAATATATATATATATATATATATATATATATATATATATATATATAACGGGGGGATTATTTATTGGTAATTGAAAGAATTTTCTTTTAAAACAAAATTATTAGGATTTAATTTTATATATTAAAGGCTAGGAACAATTTTGTTGACAACATTGAATATTCAAAAAATGAAAATCCGTATTTAATAAATGCATTATCGTTCAATTTTAAAAGGGACATCCAAGTTTTTGACAACATATCATGTAAAAAAAAACATTTTGACCAAATTTAATATTTCTTGCAAGAACACTAATAACTTAAAAATTAATAATTTTTTTAAATGAATTAACTCGCTATTACTCATCATTAACTCGTTAAACTAATAGATATATCCAATCCACAATTTGATAAGTTAGTTAGTCGGGATCTAATCCATTTTACGACTCCTATTTTTCTCACATGCGAACAAACATTACTAAATCTAATGATTAGGTTTCAAAATTTTAAATTCATTCCATGCCCATCTCATATTTTACGAGATAAAAAACATAAAGAGACAAATTGACGTGAACCCACCTAGTTGTGTACCTAATACACAACAAAAATGTGGAGACTATTACTCCCAAACTAAAATTAATAATTATATATGAAAAAGAAAATAAAACATCAGCCATTATCTTATATCCAAATATCGCTTGAAAAGAAGTTGATCTACAAAATTTCATCCTTTAAAACTATTAAACAAAGCAAACCCGTGCCAGGAAGAAGATCAACCCAAAAAAACAGTGATGTTCATGCTGAACGCTCTAAATCAAAACTGAATAAATTTTATGATATAGATTGCTCTATATATATACAGCAACAGATCTCCGAAGTATCAATTGTAGATTTCGTGGTATCAGCTGTAGATTGAGACAGGGTTAACCCTTTTTTATATATCCTTCACTCATAGTTCAAAACCTAGCAAAGCAAAAAAAAAAAAAAAAAGCTTGTTCACTAGTAAAAGTCATCTTACTCTTCAAGCTTAGATGTTCTATCAGCGTTGTGACCATGGTAGGCCTTTTTTCCTTTGTTTGAGTTCTGATTGTGACTCTGATTGCGGTTGGGATTGTGTTGATCATCTCCAGATCCACCTGCACCTCCCATGGCAAAATCCATTTTGTCAATTCACCTGCAAAACTTTCAGAGTTATGTTCTTCCTTATATTTCTGTGCTGTGTTATGTGAATTCTTATGCTACTTTATAGATGCCAATCTGCATGACTTTCACACTATTTGCTTCAGAATATCGCAAAAGCAATAAAATCCGCTAAAGAAAATAGTGATGATGAGATTTACCAGCTTTCCCTTAGATTGATGGTGAACGGAAATTAAAGGCTTAGCTTGTATAACCCCACACACTCACATATCATCACTCCAACCTAGTAACAGCTATATGCTATAGAAAAAAACAAATTACAGAGATTAGAAAAATAAGAAAATGTATTAATGAAAAAGGTTTATTATTCTTAAAACTCAGAATGTAACGGTTGCTTTCCTAGCCTTGCATTTGCAGCAAGCACATGACAACTCATCTGCATGCAAAAAGGGAGAGAAACTGGGAAAATATCAAACTAAAAAACAAAACTCACTGAAACTGAAATTCGAACCTCGAGAATTGAAACGCGGGTTTGGCTTAGGATTTAGAGAAATATGGAATTGGTGGGGTTTAGTTTCTGCTTGCACTTGGAATGAACAGGAACCTTTAAAGTTATTTCTCAGGACCAGTCAAATTGAAAATGTTGTAATCAATTAATATATATGTATTGCTTTTAAGGATTTCTTTTATTATTGAAAAAAAGTGATTAAATGAGCCTTTATTTATTTTGGTTTATTATTTGATAATATATATTACTCGCAGTAAATGTTTTTCGGAAACATTAATTGAATTAAATTTATGTTATTTTTATTAAAATAGTAAAAAAAGTTGAACCGAAAAGAAAGTAATAAATGTGGATGATAAAATCAATTAATCAAATTAATGGAATACTTATGCATATTACAGAGAAATTAAGGGTTAACCGAGTAAAACAGTTTTACATTCTTATTTAAAGATTGATCGTATGACTTTTATTATAATGGTTATAAGTTAAATGCTAATTAGTTAATGTATTTTAAGAGTATGTTTATTACATAGAAAAAGAAAGGTAGACAGAGAAAATAAGTCAAAAAGAAACTGAAAAAAAAGGATATTTTTTGTTGAAGCAAAAACTAGAATAAAGTGAAAAATAAAATTTGAGAATATTTGATTTAAAATAAATATTATTAACTATTATTTGTATTTATTATGAAAAAAGGTTTGAAAAATTATTAATCAATACTCAACTCTTCAATAATTAATTATGGAGATTGCGTAAAGGATTGAAAGTGTTTTATAACTAAAATAATGGTAAATACATAATATAATTGATTACATTTTGCATTGTTTTCACAATTATTTTAAGGTATTTCTTGATTATATTTTCATAACTAAAATTTATGTGGGACTCATAATTTTTCTATTTTTTCATACTTTTTTTATACAGCATAAGGAGATTTTTTAGGTAAAGAATAATAATAAAACAAACATTACATTAATATAAAAATAAGATAAATGAAATTTAAAATGGTATATATTTGAAAGGAATATTAAATTATCCATTATATATTAGCCTTTATAGTCTTAACTAGGAGTAGGAGACTTCTACATTAATCAATTCCCTCTACTAACATTTATCTGATATTTTATTTTATTTCATTTTAAAGTACTACTTTTTTTAATTCAGTTATACATCATCCATAATTTACAAAATTTTTGAAAATATTAAAATAAGTCATAAAATAATGAATCAGTGCTATTAGTCCTGATAAAATAAAATCCTTAATTCTTCAAAATAAAACCAATACAAAAATTAAAGGTTTGTAAAGTGATATTACAAAATATATTATAAATATTTTTATTTTTATAAATTTATAATAATTATTAATTATTATTTTTATTTATAGTTTGATAAAATAAAAATACTAAACACATTTAATATTTCCTTTAATAAATTAAAATGGTTTCATAATTATTTATAGTTTCTTAATATGCATATGTATACATAGTCTCCTACTTATAAATCTAATATATTTATACTATTTATAATTTCTTTTAATAAGCTTAAAAATAAGGATATAATTAAATAATTATTATTATTAATTTTCTAATTTGAAATAATAAGCTTATTATTGGTGGGAATAAGTGTCGTCGTTATTCTTCAATCCATACGCTGATGATACATGCATGTCATAGTATAAACAAGATGAGTAATTAAATTATGGAAAAAGTAACGATATATAATACGATGAATCTATTCACTAATTGCAAATAATGTGTTTACGTTTTTAAAGAAAAAAATAGCAGAAAAATACTTGTATTTGACCAAATATAAGGTAACCAACAGCGTCGTAGTTTTACTTTTCTTTCTTCTTTTTTTCATGTCGATGCAGATTAATTATTTGCCTTGTAATTGGTGCAACAGTGTAGTGCATAGTTTATTTATTTTTTGTCTGTATTTCTGTCTATTAATTGAATAGCGACTGATTGTTATTTTGTGACTGATTCGTTGGTCGTTAAATTGAATTATTCTTTCAGAATCAACGAATTTGTTTCAATTCAGGTAAATAATTTATGATAATATATTTTTTTAATTTAATTTTTAAAATAATTTTTTTTCGCTGTGATTCTCTCAATCCCTTCTTTTCGTCCATGTGTGTTAACAATTCTAAATCATCCAACCACAAATACATATATTTATATTGATTGGACATGAAATACTTTACTATGCACTCTTAATGTTGTATATAGGCAATATTTACTAACTTTCATGGAAGATTTTCGTAAGTAACTATTAAACCTGTATCCGCGAGGATCGATCGACCCCATCCCGAGTTTGACAAGAAAAAAATCGAATTGATACAAAGTGGGAACAAGTTCGATTTTTCCCACTTTAAAAATTCGGGGTAGGAACAAAAATGGGTAATGCAATTCTCATCCCGGTCCGATCCCAGTCTCACCCGATTTTATATTTAAATTTAAATTTTAAAATACTAATATTTTAAAAATATTTTTTTTTCATTACATATAAAGTAATTTTTTTTATATTTTACCATTATTACTTTTATTCTAATCACTTTTTAATTCTTTTATGTTTTTTTAATATGTTATATCAATTAGTTTATTACATTATTCTTTTTCTCTTATCTTTCATTTTTCCATATTTTTATTAATCTCTCCAATTAATTTGTTTTTTCAATCTTTTTAACTAATTTGATGAACACAAAGTTAATTTTTCTTATTCTTTATCTTTTTTTCTAAATATTTTATATAAATATTAGTAGTAATTAATATTATTTTATTTATAATTTATCTTTATTAGGTTTTATTATATCATATTTTTTTGGATTTTATTATTCTTATTTGTCATATATCAAAATTTATCTTGATAAAATAATTGTATTTTAAAGGATTAACAAAATTGATAATTTAAATTTTTATTACTTTGAATTAAATAAATAAGAACTAACTTATAAAATATTTTTTTATAAACTTAAAAAGAATTAACTTTTATATATATATATATATATATATATAATTAAATGTTTAAATATAATATTATAATAATAATATTATTATTATAAGTATTCAAATATTTGAATATAGTATTATAATAATAATAATAATAATAATATTATTATTATTATTATTATTATTATAATAATGTTATAAGTATTTTATAGTTATATAAAGAAAAAATATATTTAATTAATAATAATTATAAATTCTAAAATTCTAAATATTTATTTATGTAAAAAAATACATAAAAATAGTAAAATTAATTTATTATAAGTATATTATTTTTTAAAAATAATGTAGATCGAGGATGGGACGGAATCGAAGAAACCCGAAATTCAACGAAAACGGGAATGTAGACTTAATTTTTAACCTCGACAAGAATCGAAGATGTGGACGAGGATGGTTAAAAAAGTCGGGAATGGGAATCTTAGTGACAAAAGCCGCCCTGTTGTCATGCCCCACTAGTTTTCAAATTGCTAACCATTAAAAAAAAATTCATTGGTTATAAGACTCAAGAATTCCATAATTGCATAGCTCATGTTAGTCGAGCATAAACCATTCAATAAATCCTTTAAAACCAATCAATCATTTATTTAACAAATTGAAATACTAATAAATCTTAATAATATTAGTGAGATATTTTCATTATGGAAAATTGATGAAGTAGATATTAGAGTTTTAATTTACTCTTATTATTTAATTTTTGATTGAGAAATTGTTAGTAAAGAAAAATTGATGCCAGGATCGATAAATAAGAAAGAGGAATATCGAAGATCATATGGTTGGTTAAAAAATTGATAAGAGACAGAGAGAAGACACCTAGTAACCACAAGATAAAAACACATATAAATCGAGAATCAGAATCGAAGGAAGAATATTCGATGTCTATTGTTGAAGAGAATCGAGGAATTAGAATCTAGTGTAATGTTAAGATTAAAGGGAATCAAAAGCAATTCAAAGTACTCGATGTCTGAAATCGAGATCGAGGGAACGGTTAACGCGCACATAGAATATGGGAAGCGGTTTCTAAACCGTGGCAGAGATCGAAGATCAAGGGAGCTGTTATCTCATGCATGAGAACGTGAAATGCAGTTTTCTAAACCGTAGAACTAAGGGACGTGCATGTTGGATCGTGGTGGCAGTTTTGTTAACTGCTCTTAGGAGGTTACTTGAAAGGTGCTCTATAAATAGAGTGGTGGCAGTTTTGTTAACTCCTCTTAGGAGGTTACTTGAAAGGTGCTCTATAAATAGAGTGAAGACTTGAGGGAAAAGGGAGAATTGACAGAGACAAGTGAACAGTTTACAGGAGAACGACGCATCATGAAGCTTCTAATACTCTGGATTTCCGTTTTTATTGATTATCTTTATCGCTTTCTCTACTTTCCCTGATAATTTACTTTCATTGCAATTTACGTTTGTCAAACTTTAAGTTTTGTCCTTTCAATTCCTTGTCATTTGCTTTTATGCAAGTTAAGGTTATGCGTTTAAGATCCTCGTCATTTACATTTTTGCAATTTCGATTTCCTGTTATTTACATTTCCGCAATTTCGATTCCTTGCCATTTACATTTAATGCAAATTTGAGGTTTTTCGCATTTTACATTTCTCTGCAATTTAATATTCTGCACGGTTTTTCGATTCAACACCTTTACTGTTTTCTTTACTTCAATGTTTCCTAATAAAAAAGAAATACTAAAAAGAGTATTTTTCGATTGTCAATCTGTATGCCATAGTACGTTATTAGTGTTTTCTCGATATCGTGGTATTTGCGATTTTCATACATATTTCGATTGAAAACCGTTTGTTAGCCTAAATAAAAAGAATCTACATGGTTAAGATTTGATTAGAACTTAAGTCTCGATTTAATCGAAATCGATCAAATTTTCACTGAAACATGAAATTATGTTTCAATACACCAATAACTATTATATCATTTAGGAGTCGAAACCAAATATAATTTATATATATTCTTATCTTTTAATTAACCAAAGAGTCTTTTAAGAATAAATATACGATAGATTAGAGTATAAAGTGAATAATATCTTAAACGTAAATCCTAATTATATTATCATATTCATTAGTACACAATAAACTTTTAACTTCTATTATTTTGAGCTTTAACATTTGTCTAAATTCTACGTCAAAACAGATAACATAAAAATATGTTGAAATAACTCATCAACGTAATTTTTCATCGAACACTATGCAACCCCAACACAAATGTCATTTTTCATCTGCATTCAACATATATAGTCCTAGTGTGCACCATAGTGGAATGCGTCACCCTTTATACGCTCCATCCTCCATATCTGCCCTCATACCCTTTCTTGCATTCTCATACCTTACAACCATTCTAATTATCACCAACCACACCACTTTTGAAGATGCCTTCGGCGGACGTTGCCTCACAATCTACACCACCCTTTAGACCGAAGTCCTGCCATGTTCAGCTTGTGCCTTCTCAGATTAGTACGCCTTTCCAAGGTGACCATCGTCGTGCTTGTGTTGTGGCACTAATTGCATTTGTGGTGATCTTGTATTGACCTTACTCTGTGTATTTGATAGTTAAACGCTTATACAACTAATTTTAAAATTAAATACAATAAAGTTCAATATTAATGAATATTTAACAACAATAACTCAATATAAACATTTATACATTATCATAATTGAAATCTTCAAAATCAACAACAATTTCAATTTATTAAAAAATAAAGATATAAAGCATAACCTTAAGGACACAATATGCTCAAATGTTCTAATTTAATAAAGGAAAAACATTTAGAAACATAAATAAGTGATAATGATGGTATTGCTGCAGCTCATATGACCAAAAAACGTTCAAAGAAGTCACCATATTATGTGTTATTTATTATTCAAAAGAAAACTTTGGCGTGTAAAGAAAATGAAACCTGACAAAAATATAAAATGAATTTTATACCAAAGTATTGAATTTTTTAAGAGAGAATTTATTAGGGAGAAACAATACCAATAAGAAATGAGTTCAACCTACGTAAGAGATTAATACCACTCTGAACACAAAATATTAAGACATCACACAAATTATCGGGTCTGATATTAGTGTTGGATCTTTCGATTAATATACCATATTATTGTCGTCATTACTATTCAAAAGAAAACTTTTTGCGTCTAAAGAAAATGAAACCATGATAAAAATATAAAACAAATTTGATACCAAAATATTGGAACTTGCAATGGAGAATATACTGAGAAAAGACAATACCAATAAAAAATAAGTCTAACCTATATAAAAGATTAAGTTATAGGTCATATTTTCTTTCAACTTTCTCAATTTTATGAAACATAGACTCATTTAAATTACCAATCACAAATCATACTAGTTATAATGTAAAATCATTAAAATGGGAAATTTTTATGGGAGAACCACAGTCCGATGTAAATTTTACATCTTATCTCAAATCCTATATGATTAAATATAAAAAAATATACTTTAATTTAAAACATGCTACTGTTTTTTTTTACATTAGATAATTACTAATTTTAAAAAAACTAACTTAAAAGGTATATTTTGCGATATTATTGGGAGACGAGACCAGTATAACTCATTCCCCTAGGGAAAACAAAAGACAAAAGTAGCATTATTTTTTAATCAAGTTGCTATATGTGAGGGAATATATATGGATGATGCATGACATTCTTTAAAATACTGTGTAAATGTTTTCATTACTCCTAAACCTATAAGCTTAGTTGTGATACATGCACGTTCTTATAAATAAAATTTAATTAATTAAGTTTTTTGGAAAATAATCCAAATTGTATACTAAGCAAATCCATTCCTAGATTCTCTATATCATTCATGTCAACTTTTATTTGATTTCGATTTTAAAAACTTTTTTTTCATATTTTTATTTCTTGATTAACATTTTGATTTTGAATCTCCACTTTCCAAAATATAATTGACTATTAATTTAAAACGGACTGTTATGAAAATAAATTTAAAAAAAAATTATAAAATTAATTTAATATAAAATTCATTTATGAAATAATTGAATAGTATTTTAGTATACCAAAATTTTAAATGGACGTACGACTAATTAAATGTATTGATGTTTTATAAAAAAAATAACATGACATTTATTTAACAAAATAAATTAACATTTTATTTATTTACAAAATTAAATAATATGAAAAAAGTTTTTCAAATAGTTCAATTTAAAATGAAAATAATCAAAATGAAATAAAACATGAATTAAATATTAAATGTTCATTTATAAATAATTTAATTATTTTATTGACATCTATTTCAAATATTATTAATGTTCAAATCACTTCCTTTCCAAGTCAATATTTCAATTGCAGTGAAAAAGAAGAATCAATATCACCCTCTTAATTGTTGATACGTACTAAGTAATTATTTAAATAATCCAAAACATGTTTTTATATATATAGCTTGTAATGGGTTGTGCGCAGAACATGTCATTATTAGGAGTAATTGTTCCCATAACTTGTAAATTTGTAATTAAATATATACATGTAATTATAAAATTTTCCTATAATTTAAAATATAGTATAAAGAAAGAATCTATAACCTAAATCTTGACCCACAAATTTATGTTATGAATATTAACTTGTTATTGTATCCAAGGGTAGTATGAAAAAAAGTATTGCTCAATTTATAAATAGCAGATACACTTTCATTTAAATTATCTATAAATAATTATTTAAATATATTTTTTATCCTAATTTTAAGTACAGCTTTCTCTTTTTTTCATTTCGAAGGGAGAAGGGAAGAATTTTTATGTTTTTAAAAAGGAGGGTATTTAAAAACATATAGTATTTATAAATTGAAATGACCTTCTTTGACTCCAGGCCCAACGAAGCCATAGTCCTATTGGGCCTGTAACATAATAATGACATAACCCAAGATATGTAAGAAAGCCCAAAGGAGCCTCTGTCTTCAGAGTGCCATTGACGTTTCCTTATTGCAAGAACTAACGAAGCACGTTGCTGAAGTAGAACCTCTGGATCTCTCTCTTTCTCTCTGCGATGGAGTTTCGCGTTTCCGTTATTTGGAGCCTCTTCCTCATTGTCTCCTTCTTCTCTCCTCAAATCAGGGTTCGTTTATCTTTCTCAGTAATCTCTTAAATCTCGCGACCCCGTACGCACTCGATGGCGGTTTCGATCTAACGATTTCCCCTTTCTTTGATTCGGTTGTTTGGGTAATCGCAGGGGGAGCCTTCTGGTTCAGTCGTCTTCATTGATAGCTCCAGTAATCAATTCCTTCGCGCCAGATCATCAAACGACGAGGTTCAGATTCTTCTTTTGTCTCATTTCTGCATTTTATGACATCTTCCCATTCAACACGCTGACTGGTGCGAACATCAGTCCTTTATTTGAATACGATTCTATCGAACTTCGATTTTGAGTTGATATCGAAAGTTTAGGTGCGAACAATTTTTAAAAAATAAATTAAAATCCGTTTTGAAAAATTACGAATAAATCATGCAATATGAGCCTTCGGTCTTGTCGTTAGCGCTGGAAATGTCGGGGAAGTGACACTTGACGAATGAATAGGAACTATCATTAGATGTGAGAACTGAATTGCTGCATCTTCTCTTGTTTATATTGCATGGATCGAGTCCTGTCTAAATTTTTCCAGATGATATGTTAGAAGGACAACTTTTTAATTAGTTTGCTACGAGTATATGATGATTTTATTTTGACATATGTTCATTTTGGGAGAGATTTTTGTTGGATTTAAAGTTAAATATTCCCTTTATTTTTTTATCTTTTCCATGTTCCCCTATAGTTTCACTATTGATATTACTGCATTCTGTTCAATACTTATATCAATAATAATGATCTCACCGGGTGGTACAATTCCACTTTGCAGCAACCTTCACTGTTGCTTCAGGATGTTGGGGCTGCTGTGTCAGTCTTGCTTGGCCTTTCTCCTCCTTCCACCCTTTCAGCCGCCAGCTCATCCAAGGTCCTTGAAATCATTAGTGATGTTCTGTTTTCACCACATTATTCATGTTACATCATACCTATATTATAGATTTGATTGACTATAATATTATGTCTTTTGCAGTTGAATGAGGTTCTGAGTCCCAACCCATTCAAGAGGCCTCGTGCGGTGTTTTTGCTGGAAGTGAAAGGAATCAATGGTCTCTGGCCATGGATTAAGTATAATGATCAATTTCTATATTATGTTCTCTATTTCACAAAAAGATAATAGTAATGTATCATGCATACAGGCCTTGGGAAAGTTGTCCAGGATAGTCCAATGTTCAGCAATTCATTTCGGAGTATAAATTCTGATAAAGTTGACATTCAACTTTCAGGTGAGCTTTGAAAAGTTCATTTTGGGAGAGAGTATATTGAAAATGTTGGTAAGCATTTCATAATTTTTTTAAGGGGCATTCCATTTTCATTTTGCTCTGATTTATGCAGACGAAAGGGATATTTCTGTGGTTTCTTTGGATGATCAGCTGGAAGACTGGACTGACAAAGAAATCAGTGATTTTGTTAGTTTTGATTTATATTATACATGTCTATGAACTATTTCCTTATTATTTTAGTATCATGTTATATGTGAAAGTGACTTTGTCATTGTTTTCTTAGTCATCTTTGATAGATGGATCATATGCTCCTGATGCCGTTGTGCCATTAAATGGAGTGCTTTCCATTCCATTGTCAAATGGTGCCTCAGTGAATCTCCATATGTCGAAGGTATGGTGAAGATTTTAAGTACCCTTTTCTACTGATATGTGAAGGTGTTAAGACTGACTGGGAGGTATACGCATGTGTGTGTTTGCAGGAAGCTGAAAGGATGTTCGTGCTAGGTCTTATGTCTCTTGTGCAGAATGTCAGGACAGCAATTCAATTGCATGATGATATATCACAGAGTACAAATAGTCCTGCTGAGCTGATAACAGGATGCTTCAATGGAATTAAGGTATGCTGTTCTTCTTCACCCATTTTCTTGTTCCTTACAATTTTTCTTCTGAATTTTTGGAAGAACTGCCATGCAACTTCCACTATTTCGATGTAAACCGAGTTAGGGGCAGTTATGACAGTAGTGTAGAAAACAACTGCTACAGAAAACAGTTCTGTATTAGAAACTCTTGGATTATGTGTAGAAAATAACTGGTAGTAGTTAGTTCTATATTACAAAATGCAGGATGGCAGTTATGTGTAAAAATTAACTGCAGGCAATTATGTATTAGGAGTATATATTCAATAGAAGGTTGTGTAATTAGGCAGTCTAAAGTTACATTAGTGTCATAAATTCAGAGTTTCCATCATATTTACGTGCAAGATTATTTGCTATATAATGGTTTATCAGTCTTTCATCATTTTCCACAATATGGACAATAACAATAGAACAAGTTAGCAAGAGTGTCTACATGGCTGCATTCTTGCCCATATTCAACCAACCCTGAAACACAAATCTTCATTGAAACAAGAGGTGATGATATTTGAAGCACAAACATAGTGGTTTCGTCCCCTTTCATGAACATTTACAATGTCAATATTGCAATTTCAATCTAAGGGCTTGTTTGTTTCAAAAACTAAAAAACTTGTTTGATAATATATTGTTAAAATAGTTATCTAAGTTAGATTTTCTTTTTTAGTTTTTGTTGAGATATGTTGTTTATGTATCTTTTAGTATTCTTTTTCAATGTTCCTTATACTAGGGTTAAGGGTTTGGGCAGAGGCCCATATCCTCTCTATTGTACTCCTTTTTTTCTATAAATAAAATGTACCAGTGTCTTTGGTCACTGTATTAAACCCTAAATAAGTTTTCTCAAGTTGATATCAGAGCCACCTGAATCAAGAATCTATGGGTTCTGACCTTTCACAAATTGAGAAATGCATGCAGTTGAAACAGGCATTGAAGAGGATTGATTTTGACGGTTAAACTTTCCAGATTTGAACTTCAAAAGTTCCTGATACTCTTTATTAAAAATCTTCATATCTAGCTTTTTCGATTTAGATGCATGGACAATCTTATTAGGAAAGCCATGCAAGTAATAACAATTTTCCTGCGTGTGTCCCATGCTATTACAATAGGTGCATTGAGGACGAATTTTCGAATTACCACGTCCACCTCGATTATTGCATCCTCCCCCTCGACCCTAAGGGGCAACAATAGCAGAAGTTTCAACAGTCTCCACCTAATTCTCATCAACCATGAGATTAGAAACCCGAATCAACCTAGTGACAAGATTATCCACATGATCGCCCGCAAGGATTTCATCACACGTGATCAAAGTCAGAATGAAGACTTCTCAAAATTAGAACCATATATATCTTATTGAGTTTGATGTTTATCTCTTCTAAGGTATTTGCAACAAGAAACCTTTTTAATTCTTGCACAGCAGCCCTAGCTTTTGCGATGTGAGTCATCATGTCGTGATTGGTATGCTTAAGTGACGTCACTCTTTGAGTTGCATCAAAGAGACATTGATTATCATTAGCAAAAATGTCTTGAGCCTTTTTTCCAAAAAGAAGAATTGGTTTTGAATGACCTGAGAAGCTCAAGAACATCCGGCTCCACAGACGGCCATAAGATTGCACAAAGTTGGAAGTCTATTTTTTCTCACTGAAACCTTTCTGCAGCAGAAATAGAGTCTACATCCTTCTCCAAATGGTTGTGATGCCCTTGACCGAGAAACCACAACGCAACTAAAGTAGAACAGGATAAGTAATTTTTCCAGTTGAGTCTAGCACTAGTTATGTGGGAGTAGCAGAGAAGGTGAAGATAGAGGATGAGACCATCTGAACCAGAAAAGATGAATAAAGACAACGAATAGGGTTACCCATGAGACTTTTCACACATAGTTCTCAAACCAGAAAACTAAGGGCACCACTGGACTCGGAGGACGCCGTTGAGTCGGACGGAGACGGTCGGCCTTGATTCGGCCATTGGAGGGCGGCTAACGACAACCAGATCGAAAATCAGTGTGGGATCTTACCCGCTCTGATACCAAATTCTTGGTTATTGTGATGTAGACTGGGCTGGTTGTCCAATTGATAGAAGATCGACTACTGGGTATTGTATCTTTATTGGAGGAAATTTGATTTCTTGAAAGAGTAAAAAATAAAGTGTTGTTGCTCGATCTGGTGCAGAAGTTGAGTATAGATCTATGACACTTACTACATGTGAACTTGTGTGGATCAAACAACTCCTTCAAGATTTAAAATTTTGTGATATTAGGCAAATAAAGTTATTGTGTGATAACCAGACAGCTCTCCATATTGTCTCCAACCCAGTCTTTCACGAAAGAACAAAACATATTGAGATTGATTGTCATTTTGTTAGAGAGAAGTTGCTGTCTAAGGACCTTGTAACTGAATTTATAAGCTCCAATGAGCAAATGACAAATATTTTAAGTAAATCGTTAAGAGGATCTAAGATTCAATTCATTTGTTCCAAGCTTGGTACATACAATTTGTATGCTCCAGCTTGAGGGGGAATGTTGAGATCTGTTGTTTATGTATCTTTTAGTATACTTTTTCAATGTTCCTTAGACTAGGGTTAAGGGTTTGAGCTGAGGCCTATATCCTCTCTATTATATCTTTTTTTTTTCTATAAATACAATGTATCAGTGTCTTTGGTTACTGCATCAAACCCTAAATAAGTTTTCTCAAGTGTTTTAAAAACGGAAAAATGAAAATTGATAAAATGTGTTTTCTGTTTTTAGCTTTTTGTTTTGATTAATGGTATATGCTTTTCCTCCCATGGCTTGCTTGCCTTTGTTGTAAATTTGTCAATATCGTCCTTCAACTTCTGCAACGACTCCTAGTTGTTGTCTGTGTCATTCTCTTCTTCTATCTAAAACAATTTTCAAGCTAGAGTTATTAAATAAGTTTTTTGTTTTTCCAACTTATGTGTGAAACTGGGTCTAAAACAATTTGTCATTAAGTTTGCAAACATATCCTATTATATAATCAATAAAATATACGCTTAGTTTCCATGTTATTCTTCAATCTCTGGCACAATTTGATACATGCATTGTTCATAATATCTGCAGTATGTATTGACTGTTGTTGCTGTATAGATGAATTTTGATTTTTTTATTGACTAATATGGGCCAGGTTTTGCAAGAGCAATATGAAGCTGAAAGTATAGCTGAGCATGGAGTTGAATTGCTATATGCAACTTTGTCAAAGATAGTTAGTTCATTGCAAGAAGCATACAAAGGTTAAATTTGTCCGGCTTAAATAATTGCTCTATGATTTTAAATTACGCCTTGCAATATTGGCAATGATTTGCTTTATTGATATAGAAAACCTAGTCAAATAACTAGCAACCTCTTATCTGATCATTCATTCTTCTGATCGTCAGATGTTAACAGTATTGATCTAAAATGTTCATTTGCTTTCTTTTAACCTCTTAACAATCGATGATTGAGCAGGTCAAATTGTTGGAATAATCTACTGTCATGTCGCTTCTACACAAGAGTTTAAAAAGAAGTTTGATGTAATCTTTACTCCTCACCATACTGCTCGATGGTTGGCCGAAACAAGTACAGTGAATGCAACATTGCCAGAAGTAGTGCTGGTTAGGAGAACCCTTGCTTGGGTAACAGGAATTATATTGCTCGTTTCAACCCTTATGGGGGTAAGTATTAGGTGGAATAAATAATAATATTATAGTATAAATTAGATAAAAAATGAAAAATTGAAAAGAACCAAGGTCATCAAGTACTAGCTGAACATTGGAAGAGTTTTTATTTTGATTACAGCAGTGTCAGGGTAGGAACCTTTCTAAGCAATCATTTGAGAACTTATTCGGGGAAATTCTGTGGGTGCAGTTATCAGAAGTGTTAGTTTCTTAGCCATGGGTCTCTCTTTGGAAAGTATGACTCATAAGTTTGATAATCAATTACTCAAATAGTTTCCTTTAGGATCCCTCATTAATGATACAATGGTGGATAAGTAATGTTGAGCTTGATGCATAATATTTATTAATTTATTTGTTTGCTGACAGATATGCTACCTCTTGAATATGCCGCTCACAAGGGACACGCTTCTGTATTCTAATGTCAAGCTTGACTAGGCATGGGTGCGAACCAAGACCAATATTTTCAACCAACAAAGGAGATCCGGGCTGCCGTTGAACCTTGTAATTGGGGGTCTTTTTCTTGATGCCTCTGATCTGTGTGCATGATTATATTATTGTTAAACCATTAGTTACTTGTGTTTAATGGTCCACCGGTGTAGCAAATTATGATGAGTCATTGGAAACTAGTCAGGATTTGGGTCTGGAGAATAGGGGATTATTATTGTATTGATGTTTAAATGTGAAGCATCGTACCCCGTGTTTAATCAGGGCGTAGATAGTCATAGATGTGTGATTATGCCAGCCATTTTCAATAATGTGTGTAACCTGTGGTTGACATTTTGATCGAAATAATTTCAATTTTATTGTAAAATAATGATTTTTCAGATACGCTGTCTACCTTTCTGTTTCTAAATAATGAATTTTTCTCCCACCACTTTTATTCTTTCTTCCCACATCTCATTCATCTAAAAAGAAAAATATAATATTGTCTTTAATAAAATAAATAAGGTATGGATTAGGATGATAAAACTGGTCGTCTGCCAAAACAACGGAACAAGATAGGATAGTCTAGCAAGTTACGGATTCCGTCTGTCTTATCAAATGAGTTAGCCTGTTAATTTTTTAATATAAAATTATATATATATATATATATATATATATATATATATATATATACATTAAATATATTTTTAATTATATAATTAATTTTAAGTTTTTATTTATTAATTAATATTTATAATTTAAATTATAATATTATAATATATTTGATATTTTAATAATATAATAAAAAATATAACATTTTTTATTATAATTTTTATTATTTTAATTTTAATATAAATATTTTTAAAAGTCAATGTTAGTTTATCCGTCTCACCTTTTATCTATTAGGCTGGTAAATCAAAATGAATTAATAAAATAAAACTTATTTAACTGATAATTTTAAGATGGACTGGGCCTAGTCTATTATATTATCACTCTTTTGAATTCATTTTTCTAATATTTTTTTAAAATATTTTAAAATAAATTTTTCGAAGAAATCAATTTTTTTGAAAATATTATAAGAAAGTGATTATAAAATATTTTTTAAATTTTTTTGAAAAAGATTTCAAAATAATTTACAAATTTCATTCTAAAAATAAAAATAAATACATCTAAATTTTGAATCAAACAAGTAAAAAATTATTTTTAAAATTAATTTTCTAAAAACTTTTTTAATTAATCTTTTGTAAAATTATATTCTGGATTTCATACTTTAGAACTTCACAAAATTATATATTTTTATATCTATTCATTCGATTTTTTTTTTAATTTTCAATATAAAATATTCTATAATATATTTTCAGATAATTTATTTTATAAAATTAAAGGTATTTCTTTTCCTATAAATATAGGGGTATAGGGTAAATGTCAATAGTAGTAAGCATAAGCACAACATTATTTTCCTATGACACGACCCTATGGATTCTTCCAAATAAATTTAATTTTCGGCTATAAAAGATTGATAAAAGTATTGTATTAATTCAATTTTATCTTGTAAAAATTATTTGAAATAATTTAATCCATTTGATAAAAATTCATCCAATCCATCAATTAATAAAAACTTTTTATATGCAAGAAGCAAATCAGTAAGCTTCATTGAAATATATTTTAAATTTAAAATTCATTTAAAAGATTAAATAGGTTAAAAGTATACTACTAGTATTGCAAAGAATATTTTTTAAACTAGCAGGGATAACTTATTGTTAATGACTTGTAAGAAATGGATGAATATCTAATTAATATACTTAACGATATATTAATGGTAAAATGAAATTAATAATTGATGCTTTTGACAGTTATTAATATGTTTGTTGTGTTAAAAAAAATTCCTATAGACAATAATATAAAAAATTTTAAATTCTTTTATCTACATTTTCTTCTTTTCCTAAATTTTAAAATATCCCTCTTGTAGAAATTACAGAATGTGCATTTTGGGAGAGAAAGCAAGTAAGCATGGGGAAGAAGTAGAACCCAACCCAACTACGCATGAAAACCCCACACCTCTTCCATCTCCGCCGCCGCTTCGGCACAAAGTACACCGCCAGGATTACGTCCACCGCCCCCACGGGCCGCTCCCTCGCGGCGGAGGTGACTCCACCGCCGCCCCTCCCCTCCGACTCGCGAGGCTACCTCCTCCCCCGCCGCGACCTCATATGCAAAGCCACCCAAATCCTCCTCTCCCCTCCGCCCTCCTCCTTCTCCGACCCCTTCTCCGATCTCTCCGACTACCTCCAATCTCTCTCCCTCTCCCTCTCCGCTCTCGAAGCCTCCGAAATCCTTAAAGCCCTAAAGAACCCCTCTCTCGCCCTCAAATTCTTCCACTTCTGCCCCTCCCTCTCCCCCGATTTCCGCCATGAGTCCTTTACCTACAATCGCCTCTTCCTCATCCTCTCCAAGTCCACCAACCCCGCGCGCTTCGACCAGGCCCGCGACCTCCTCCACCACATGCACAGCCACAGCGTACGCGGCAACATCTCCACCGTCAACATCCTCGTCGGCTTCTTCGGCTCCGGCGAGGATTTGCAACGCTGCGTTGCGCTTGTCAAGAAGTGGGACCTCAGACTCAACGCTTACACCTACAAGTGTTTGCTCCAGGCCTACTTGAGGTCCCGGGATTCTTCTACTGCTTTTCAGGTTTATCTGGATATGGTTAGGCGTGGGTATAAGTTGGACATTTTTGGCTACAACATGCTTTTGGATTCTTTGGCCAAGGATGAAAAGGTTTGAAGTTGCATTCTGTTCTCCTTTCTTCAGGTTTTTTGGATTGACTACTGTAACACCCTTGACGCTCATAGGACAAACTTCTTAGAGAATAATAAGAAAAAAGTAAAAATTAGATTGTAGTTTTTTTTATGACTTCTCTAACTTTTTAACTTTTGCATAAGTTTTTGCTAGGGAGAAGTTAATTGTTTAGCGCGCTAGCTTATTGCTCAGGATTTCAGACATCTTAGTAAATACACTGGTCATGTTATTATCCCTTTGTATAAATAGTTTTATAATCAAACGAAATATATGATTAAATTGTTTTCATATTAGTTGTAAGTTGCTCTAGTAAGAAGTTCATGAAAGCAAGTCAAAAATAACTTAAAACATGTGATGAGCTCTCTCAAACACTTGGATCCTGTTTGGATAAACATCTTTATAAACACTTATAGAAAAAGAAAAAAGAAATATAAGAAGGTAAAATGAATTGATATTTTCTTATATGCTAAAATCACTTATGCTCTTCAGCTTTAGGAGGAGTTAAATGAAAGGGTTTTTATGAAAGCGAAGTGCACAGGTTAATTTTAGCTTAGGGGAAAAACTCAAGCCATTCTACCTTCTTATTTTCTTCTTCTACTAGTGCTTTTGTTATTTATAACTTGATTAAAATAGAGCCTTACGCAGGTCTTTATATCATAAGATAAATTCAAATAAGTTGTACATAAGTGCTTCCGGACATACCATTATGTGGTCTCTTTTTGTCTGACGTTAGCATTAGTATGTTGCTCTGCAGGCTCTAAGATTATGAATAGATTGATGAACATCTAATTGACTTCCACTAGTGCTGTAATCTGTTTTTAGATGTACGTTTTACATCTGTTGATCCTGTTTGTCAGTTATCATTTGTATACATTGTTTTGGCAGGTGGATAAAGCAAATAAAGTTTTTGAGGATATGAAGCGGAGGTATTGTGAGCCAGATGTGTTCACTTACACTATTATGATCAGAATGACTGGGAAATCTGGCAAAACTGCGGAGTCACTGACATTTTTTCAGACAATGCTTGCAAAGGGTTGTACTCCTAATTTGATTGGTTATAATACTATGATCGAGGCACTTGCCAAGGGGCGAATGGTTGACAAGGCCATCGTACTTTTCTCAAAGATGGTGGAGAATGATTGTCAGCCTAATGAGTTTACATACAGTGTGATTTTGAATCTTCTGGTTGCTGAAGGGAAGCTTAATAAGCTAGACGATATTGTGGATATATCAAAGAAATACATAAACAAACAAATATATGCATACTTTGTTAGGACTTTAAGCAAATTGGGTCATGCTTCGGAAGCACATAGGTTATTTTGCAACATGTGGAATTTTCATGACAAGGGTGACAAAGATGCTTGTTTGTCCATGTTGGAAAGTTTGTGCAATGCTGGCAAAATGACAGAAGCTATAGACCTTCTGGATAAAATTCATGAAAAGGATATAACCACTGATACTATCATGTATAATACAGTATTCACAGCGCTTGGCAGGTTGAAACAAATATCATATATTCATGATCTTTATGAAAAGATGAAACTAGATGGTCCCCAACCAGATATATTTACATACAATATTTTGATCTCCAGCTTTGGTAGGGCTGGAAGAGTAGAGATTGCTGTTAAAATTTTTGAAGAACTAGAGAATAGCAATTGTAAGCCTGACGTCATTTCCTATAACTCTCTGATCAATTGCCTTGGAAAGAATGGGGATGTTGATGAAGCTCACATGAGATTTAAAGAGATGCAAGAGAAAGGGTTAAATCCTGATGTTGTGACTTACAGTACCCTTATTGAGTGCTTTGGCAAGACGGATAAAGTTGAGATGGCATGTAGGTTGTTTGATGAAATGCTTGCTAAAGAATGTACTCCTAACTTGATCACATATAATATTTTGCTTGACTGTCTTGAAAGGTGTGGAAGAACTGCTGAGGCAGTGGACCTGTATTCAAAACTTAAGCAACAAGGATTGACACCAGATTCAATTACGTATGCAGTGCTCGAGCGATTGCAAAGTGGTGGACACTCGAAGTTGCGATTTCGGCGACAGAATCCTATTACAGGCTGGGTTGTTAGCCCTTTAAGATGACAGAGGAAACAAAATAATTGTTGTTCATTCCTATATACAGAAATCATTTATGCTTACTCAGGTTTCTTCTAATGCTATTTAATCTATAATAGCGATATGGCTGAGGCAAAGCATTTTATGATGATGGCCTTCGTTGCAGCCGCTGTTGAGTCCTTTGGCTGTAGCATGCTCGAGAATTGGTAGACTGGCATATGTTTGTTGGGTAACAAATTCAAGTATTCCTTCATCGGGATTTGGGACTTGCACTTGGGAGTTCAATGTAGAGGGGTATCATTTCTTTCTGATAGGGTCTGTTTCAAGTTTACATACCAGACACATCTTCTTAGGCAGGGTTGCCCATCTTCTGACATCGCAAAAATAAAAGAAAATTTGTGAGGAAAAGACAACAGTCATTTGTCTTTGCATAGATTTGTCCTTTCTTACATGAATAGTGATAGAGAATACCTAGCTGGGTGAAACATCACTAATTTTTCCTTGGTTTTATACTGGTGATTTTTGTGCTTCTAGCCAAACACCAACTGATTATTTATTTATTATTAAAAGCTAATAGCTTGCATCCTTCAGGCATAATTTTTATTCTTTCAGACTGAGGATGTTACTGGATAATGTAAAGCACTGGAATTGAAATGAAATATTCCCCATTTTACGCGTTCTCTATTTGTTTACTGCCAGTTATTTATGAAGCATTTTCTTAAACTTGGAAAAGTCAGTTTGCTGTATTTCTGTCAATTACTGCGTTTCGAAACTCATCCAAACTTTTTAAACATGCGTCAATTATAGCATGGATGCTAAAGCCACAATGGTAGCGTAGCATTGGCACAGATGTCAAATCCAAAATACTTGACTAACACCATGTTTAGACGAGCGCATGGTGCAGTAATCAGTAAAAGTGATTGATGTTTCCCGTTAAAAGTAAAATATCTCAGCATTGCATTCAGTTCTCTTTGTTTTTAAGATTATTTTTCGGTTTTCACCCTATAACTAAACGCATACCAAGTTGTACCTTCCTATATTTCAAAAAATTCATCCAATATTTTTTTTTTTCATTTCGAAGAGGATAATCCTTTTCATTTCAGATTATTCTTTAAGCATGCAAGGAAAGTATTAGATTGAAATTTTGAGATATAAGAGATTTCCATCCCACTAATCATTCCTAAGAAATTAAAACCTCCATAAAAAGGATTGCATTGTACAAATTTGTTTAAATAAAAACAGATAGATTTTTTTTTAGTTTTGTCCGGATTTTATTGTAATTAATTTGAGTCTGATTATTTATAAACTTCAGTTAGATCGGTTAAACTGGGCCGATTTTCAAAACATAGATTTCTTGTAATATTTCATACTGTGTTAGAGTTACTCAAAAAGAAAATAAATTTTTTACTGTACACGATTTCACTTCATTTTTTAGATGTTTCTGCTGTTGCTGTCTTTACAACTTTGCTCAATACCCTTAGTCATAAAACTAATACTTTATTAAGTCATGGAGAACAATTACAGCCGAGCAAGCTTGTCTGGAAAAAAAATATAGTCCAGTAAATGCATAGGATGCATTTATTGATTGATCAAAACTAAGATCACATAATTTGGCAGTCGTATTTGTAATATGAATCCAACTATAGTTACATGAACTTTAAATGACAACCTCTAGCTATTAATACCAGCTATATCTAGGAAATTTCAACATGCAAATGGCCGTAGACTTAGCAAAATTAAGAGCTAGTAGCTTACAAGAGATAAAGAGAACAATGGATTGAAGAATCATCTCATCTTGAAACCTTGGCTTCTATGTCCTGAAGTCTCAAGGTAACTGCTCGCTTGTGGGCTTCAAGGCCTTCAACTTCAGCCATGGTAGCTACATATGGCCCAAGTTTTCTTAGACCTTCCTCTGTGAGAGACTGCACAGTTATGTACTTCATGAAGGAGTCCAATGACACACCACCATACATTCTTGCATACCCATAAGTAGGAAGGACATGGTTTGTGCCGCTGGCATAATCACCAACACTCTCAGGAGTCCACGGCCCTAAAAAAACAGAACCTGCATAGGCAGTGACAAACATTTAGATCTAGGAATCTTGAATTGCCTTGCCATCAAAAACATACAAAATGAGGTTATCAAAAAAGGAATTTGATCCTCTAAGAGATTGCAGACACAAGTATCTTTGACAAGACATAAGAAGCCCATCACCCTCAATGAAAAAAAAGCAACAAAAGGAAAAACCATAGGCCGCTACCTGCATTCTCAATAAAACTCTCCCACTTCTCTGCATCCTTCACGTTGATAATTAGATGCTCAGGTGCATATAAGTTTGAGAAATTGATAGCCTGAAAGATGCTAAGGTAAATTTTACTTTTGAAACTTCAATAAGAATGTTGACATAAATATAAATTATTAGTTGATTGAAAAAATAAATAAAGATATAATTCAAAGATTTAAGTTTTCATGTGGCACAAAATGCCCTAGAATAGTTATTATTATAGGTGCATGTTAAGTTATTTTGTATTTCTGGGGTGGACCTATCTTTCCTATTCTTCTCTTGGTTTTCTCTAACAATAAGAGTGTGTTTGGTAAACCATTGTAGGAGTTTATATGCTAATTTGACTCGCTTATAATTCTCCCTGAGGTATAATCAATAGTATGGCATAATCACACTGGCTGTGCAATGTATAAATACAGGCATAGAAACCTAACAACCTGGTCTACTTATTCCAAAGAAATTGTTCTTCTCTCTCTCTACCTTGATACTCCTTAATCCTGATCAAGTCACTCTGCTTTTAGTAGGTCAAGAAAGAAACAAGATAACAGAACTGACCTCAAACATATCACGTGCATACACAATAAAACTGTGGCTCAGAGCTTTAGAGGCAAACTCGCCTCTAGGAAGACTCTGGCACTGCTTGCTGAGTTCCTCCTGTATTGCATTCAGATCCACACCATCCCCAGCAATCACAAGAACAACCTGACTATCTGGGCCATGCTCAGCCTGAAAATTGTAAATTAGGAGCATATACATCAGCAGTGTACAAGAAGTAAAAAGGTTAAAATCAGTGCTAGAGCAGGTTTTGGGTCTTGTTTAAGGTGGTCCAATTATTAGGGGTTTATCTATGCTTTTAATCTTTTGCAGATTTTGAGCCTTAATTGAAGAAAGGTGTTACATTTATTTATAGTGTAGTGTATTTGCACTCTCAATGGCGACCAAGAGAACTCTAAATCACAATCAGATTCTCAACAAACAGACAAATGCTTCTATATCCCATCTCCTTAGTTTATAAATTTGGTTGCTTTCCGGATATAGTGATTAATCTTCAATGAATTCTTATTTCCTACATGTCACATGGGAGTTCACTCTATACTGAATTTTGGAAACTCACACCATAATGTAGAAACTAGAAATAAAAGCTTTTATCATAATGTACAAATTACACTAGAACATAAATTTTGTTTCTAAGCAGGTGGATAAAGAAAAATTACAAACTTTCATAATGAATGTGAATCAGTGAATAATGTTTTGCAAGTAAAGCAATTAGGAGTTATTTTAAAACTTATACCTGCGAAAGTAAATCAGCAGCTACATGAGAAGGAACTGCATGCTCGTCTGCAATGACCAAAACTTCAGATGGGCCAGCCGGCATGTCAATTGAAATCATGGCTTCACTATTCTGCAGGAATTTCAAAAGGTAAAGAAATGAAGAAGATACAAGATTCAACAAACTAAATGTAAAAGTGGAGACATATTCCTATATTTTAATGTAAAATAATCATGATTACTTGAAGTATCATTTTTGCAGCAGTGACATATTGGTTTCCTGGGCCAAAAATCTTTTCAACCTGCAAGTTTCATCACAAATTCACAATTAAAATTAAAAATGATCAAATCAGTTTAAAGTTTTTTGTTACAGTTACATTTTAAGTACAGTTCAGTGACAAGATTACATACTCTATTTAAAAGGTGTTATGATAAGTTTGTTAATTTATCAGGGAATGAGTTTCAGTATTCCAAATAATGAATAGCAATGCTATTTAAATATGATTTACTAAATTTACTAATACAGAGAAAAACAAATAATAAGAAATAAAGTTTATTCATTGACTATCATGGAGAAGCAAACAATAAAGATGGGTTAAAAGAGAAGCTAGCCACCTTAGGACAAGTTTCTGTTCCCCAAGCCATAGCAGATATGGCCTACAATGAAGAAAATGGCATATTAATCACGGTTTATTTTATAATGAATGATACAAATATATAGAATATAGATAAATATAACGATATTCAGATGACAAAAACCAGATAAATGTTCTCTAATATTATCATGCTTCGAACCTGTGCTCCTCCAGCTTTGAGAATGTGAGTCACCCCAGCCTTCTTCGCACAATACAGTACCTCCTGCAGAAAAACTTTGGTCAGCACAAGAACAACTTTGTAACAATTTTCAAACAAAATAGATAAATACCTTGCATGTAGTACCATCTCGAGTTGGAGGATTAGCAAGAACAATAGTTTTACATCCTGCAATTTGAGCAGGCTGGTATACAAAATAAATTAACCATCAGCTAAATCGAGTAAGATAAAATCGATACAAATATCAAAATTATACAACATTGAAAGACAAAAGGTACTGAAATATTATTCAACGTACAACTGCAAGCATCAAAGCTGTTGAAGGTAATACAGCAGTTCCCCCTGGAACATAAAGACCCACGGAGTTAATACTTCTTGCAACTCTCTTGCATTGGACTCCCTGGGATTTTCAGAAAACTCAAGATTCACATAAATTGGGTATCACTGAGAACCGAAGAACAAACAAACATGTAGGCATGATAACCAAATGACATGACAAACAATTTTTATTTTTATTTTTTAAAAATCAAAAGATATAGACTAACAAAGGACATAAAAAGTACATAATCACATCTGAAAAAGACAGTCTATCCATTTTATTTTTCCTTTACTAATATTTAACTATTCATATATAATGCTGGAAGACTTAGCTACATTAACTAGATTCTACCACCGAATATTTCATATTTTGACTCAATAACACACAAGAATAAGTTTAATTATGCTCAGTGTCAATGCAGCCTTGAATCATTAAGCCCCTGGTTTGTCCACCCAACCTAGCCTGCCTATAAGCAAGAGCATAGACATACTTTCATGTTCTCAACACTTTTCTCAGTTGACTTCTGAGCAGAATGAAATGCATAAATATTGTCGTAGGCTACATCAAAAGCTTCTTTAATAGGAGGATCAAGCTGCAAAACAAAAGGCACAAAAAAAAAGAACATAATCAGTGCACTCAAACCAACATCACTAAAACAGAAAGTGAATCGTAATAATAGGAACATCTTCAACCAAAAAACTTTGAGAAACATCTATTTTGATTTTCTTTTTACTTTGCTCTTTTCTTTTCTTTTTCCAAAAATTTGTATAAAGAAATAGTTAAATATTAATTTCTATGTTCTGATAGAGTTTTATGCTGCCAATCAATCTAGTAGTTCTTAAAAAATTCCATAAACTTACATGCATGACAATTTCTAATTGGTTGACAGTGTTTTCACTCTTTCTATACAAATAGTTGAAAGCAAGAAATACAATAAGGTGACATTTTTACAAGTAAAAGTAAAAGCAAAATAATGAAAACAAAAAACTTTTTTTTTTCCAATTCAGACATGCCCTGACAAGGTACTCATATTGAAAAAACATACCACAGGGTCTGGGAGCTCCGAGACAACCTCAACAATCTTCTCAAGTTCAACTTTGTCAAACTTTGAAGTATACCTACAAAACACAAAGGCGAAGTTACATAAGCAACGAAGGTGAGAAACCACACATAAAAAACAACAAGATCATAAATGAGATTCAAAGAAGAAGAGGCGAACTCTTTAACTGCATCGTCCCCTCTTTTGTGAACATCATCGACAATGGGGTTAACCTGAAAATGGGAAAGTAAAGGAACAATTTTGAAAGTGACCCATGTGAAAAGAAAGGGAAAGGGAAAACCCATTACTCACCACACTGAAAATGGAAGAGAAATCAATGCGGGGTCGGCTCTTGAGGCTCCGAAGCTCAGAGGGAGTGAGGTTGGATAAACGATACGAGTTGATGGAACACCGTACTACTGTGGGGCGCGTGGCATGGACGGATGGCTTTGTTTTGTCGATTCGAATCAAAAAACGGTTCCAGTTAGAAGCTGTAAGCGCAGATTCCATGGAGGTGGGAACAACGTCGTAGAATTGTATGTCCTGTGGTTGGAGTTGGACTGAGAGAGACCACCCTGCTATGTTCGCCTGTGGCTCTTCTTCGATCAGGTATAAAGGTTATGAAATTATAGTTAAGTTCTTTTGGAATTCAATTGTAGATTAAAAGTATAGGCATTTAAATTTAATATTTAGGAATTAAAAATATATTTTAAATCTAAAATATTAACATGATTTTTTTAATAATTTGAGGCAACAAAAATTGTTTACCGATTAAACCATAATTTAAATAGATTTATTAAATGAAACTGTTTTATAATATCATTCAATTATAAATAATACAAAAAGTTATATTCTAAAATATTTTATAAATTTCCGTCGTTTAATTTCACAGTGCCACATTATGCTTCTTTTACACTTTTGTTAATTTTTAAGTTTTCTTCCAATATTTAATTTTTAAAATTTATTTTTAAAAGAATTCAATTTATTTAGTCCTCGACAACTCCACTACAAACAATGAAAAACAAAATACTGAAATTATCAGAATTGCTGGGTTGCGTTTTTACTGGTTATTGCATTATAGGAAGGCATAAAAAAAGTTGATGAACATAACATCATAAAGTGTTTTTTCAGAGATTGTCAAAGGATCAATGCATACGAGTTTTTTTCCAATGATTGTGAGAAGGTCAATGAATGCATGATTAATAGTGGTGGAAAGTACTCAAATTGAAGCGAATATTGAGTGTACCAGAAATAAGCATTCTTCCAGTTTCAATACCACTGGAGAAAGTAGTTTACAATTCAGGAAAAAAGTATGAACAAATAGAAGCACAATTTTTTTCCATTGATTGTAGAACAAGTAGTGCATAATGTCAGCAATGAAACTAGAAAATTGAAGAACAATCTTTGAGTATACCAGAAAATAGGCACTCTTCCAGTTTCAATACAACAGGAGGCAACCATTTTACAGTATTCGGGCAGATGAACATGGATTGACAGAGCTTGTTACAAATAAAACATTAGTTTGAATGAAAGAATAAGCTACATTAATGGACAAATTCTTTCAATAAATGTGATCCATGATTCTGCAATTAAACCAATAAGTCTTAACAATGTGTTCCTTCTCCATCCGTAGGATCCTTTATTTAAGCCAACAATGTGATCCTTCTCCATTCATAAGGACACTTGTGTATACAAATAAATCTTAGGCAAATCGTGGGGTTTCAGGGAGAAGAGTAATATCCTGAAATACCTGTAACCTGCTTCTCCTTGCTAGTTTCTTCTCTCCAATGAATGAGTCCTGGATGCCCAAGTTTGAAGCCTTTTTTGGTGATTTTGACGTGTAAATGGAATATGCTGAATCTGAACTGTGTTCCGGGTTGAAACATAGAGAACGCCTTGCTGTTGGATTCCTTGACAAAATGGCACTCCCAGATGCATAATAGCCATTTTTCTGCTCCAATGATTCAAGTTTCTTGCTTGACCATTCAGGCTGACTCTGTGGCCAAGGACTTCGATAGATTATGTTGGAGTCTTCATTTTCATCATTAAACACTTCTGCGCCATTCTCACCATCAAAATTTATGTATCCACTAAAGAAGCCATTCTCTTCATTTTGTTCTTCTTCTACTATGTCTGCCCAACTCTTCTTCTCAAGTTGTTTTCCATTTCCTGAAGCAAAATCATTGGTACCATTCTCAACCATGACATGTGATTCTGACATTATTGATCCATAACTACTGTCTACTGCAGCAGATTTCTCCTTCTCAGTAAACTGCACAGCTGCTTCTGTATTCGCAGTGTGTAACAAATCAGAATGCTTTAGCATACAAGGATCTTCCAATGTCCTTGTCCTCCACTTTCCGTTGGCAGGTGAAGAGAAACCGTTTTCTTTGGAGTTAAGCATCCTTATGACATGCTTATCGTTAGGAGGAGTCCCAAATGAAGGTTTAGAGTCTGAATGGACATCTACCCAAGCATCCCTTCGATATCCATTGTTGAAGCCCCATGAAGATCTTTTTGGCTTCGTGCTAGGAACATACAGATTCAGGTCTCTTCTACCAGGATCAGGGGATTGGTACAATCTCCTCCTGGCATGAGATACATTCCCCTTAGATGTCTCAGACTGGTTTTCTGTCCTACTCCTAACACTATCTGAGCTCTTTCTAATCGAGTTCTCAAAGCCTAGTGGAGAGCTCTGAGGCATATTCATCATTGATAATGATGCATTCTCTGATGATGATGTCTCTATCTCAATTAGCATCTGAGAAGCGCGTTCAAATGATTTAGCAAACGACTCGTCCATCTTTCTGTTTTTTGTAGCCGTGCGTACTGCCTGGAGTAGAAACTTTGCTTCTTTAATCTTGTTCATATGCATCAAACATATTGCCAAATTGCACTGCTTGTTCCTATCAACCTCAAAAGACAATGCTTTCCTGTAAAAACAAATAAGGGACTGTTACGTTTCCCTTCAAAGTAAAAAAGATAAAAAACAAACTCCATTTTGATTCCATCTTAGTAGCTCACCTGTAATGTTCTTCAGCAGTTTTATAGTCTCCTTTTTGCAAGTAAGCCCAGGCCAAGTTGCCCAGTATCCTACATTAATAGAGAGAAATTCAGAGTCAAGTAAGTGAGGGTACAAGGTCCATAAACTTGATGTAAAATGACAAAAGAACATGGATGTAAAAGAAAAACCTCGATATCTCTTGCTCAGCAGTTATTTGAATCTTCTTCCCTTGAGACCTTGCTTGCTTTGTTGTCCTTCCCACAAAGGTTATGCCATCTTCAATTTGCTTCAACTTGTGATGAAGCATGGCGATCTCTTCATCGACCCTTCCCGACCTCTGTACCAACATACATATATATAACAGCCTTATTCTTCTAGTTGAGGTTTATCAACATACATACGACAACAATTGGCTTATTCCACTAGCTAAGGTATACCAACATACATACAGCAACAAGCGTTTTAAAGTTTCATTTAGTTAACGACACCAAAAACAGCAACAAATAAAAGAGGATCCACCAGTTTCTACCTTAAATAGTTCAACCAAAATGTTGTCAAGAGAATCCTGAGAATCCGAAGGACAAAGATGACGGAAAGATCTGATAGCTTCAATTGCCTCATCTGACCTATTCAGTTGCTTCATTACCAAGGCCATATCCTTCAAGGCACTTTCAACACGATCACCGGCATTGATGGCAGCCCAAAACAAGGAAATTGCTCTTCCCGGATCCTTATCAACTAACTGTAAATGAAAAATTCAGATTAACAGTCACTACACAAAACCAATGAAAGAAAACAAAAACCAAGGAATCCCCTTCCAATTCAAGTCCTTCACACCCCATCCCATGAATTCTACAATGGCAAAACTCTATGGGCTAATTAATTATACCTCAAATTCCATCATATTCATTAGCAAAACAAAAAAGAAACACCAAAGAAAATAAAAGTTATAAAAAACTTTCTTTCCCGCCAAAAAAAAAAAAAAAAAAAAACTCAAGAGCAAGAAGTGAAGGAACAAGCAAGAACAAGACATACCCCCACGAAGAAGTAGCATCCAAATTTAACAACAGAAAAAAAAAAAACAAAGAAAAATACGATACCTGAACTTGCTTGGCTTTTACATAAGGTGAGTCCCCAGCAGGAACCTTGTGAATTATATGAAAAAGATCACTTTTATTCACAGAGTTTGGTGATTTCTTTCTCTCCGAAAATGGCACACCGGGAGAACGTGAACGTATGGTCTTCCATGGCGAAGGTGGCTGCGGCGGTGGCGTCATGAAGCACCTCGCAGGTGACCCTCTTTCAAGCAGCATGGTGCAAGAACTTTATTAACCAGAAGAACAAGATTGAATTCTTAAACTAAAGGGAACCCCACTTCTTATTCCTTCTAGTTGAAGGGTGTGAGGCGAAAGAGAGAAAGAAAATGAATTTAACAGAGTGGGAAAAGCACAACAGCAATGAGTGCTTCAACGATAGAAAGTGAAAGAAAAACGGAACGAGAAAAGGAAGGTGAAAGAAAAATTTGTAAAAGAAAGTAGCCGTTTTATAATTACTAGCCGTTGGCATTATTGGGCCAGCGTTTTTCACCTGACATATCTTTTGTTGGGGCTTCAAATTGGGCCTAAATCACTTCAATTATACCTTGAGGTTGGTAATTTGTTAAGTTCCTCTTCACCTTTTCATATATATCAAGAACTCAGAGAGTGTTGAAATTAATTTACTTATAAAAAACACTGTTCTCTTTTTTTGTTTTTTATGGGGGAGTTTAAAAAATGAGTAATTATTTTTCTTTTAAAAAATTATCCAACATGTTTATACCAATGTTATGGTAAAGTTATATAAAATTTTATGTAAATCAAATCCAACAATTATATTTGGTAATAATATTGACTTAGAAAATTTATCCTTTAACAACATTAGGCTACGTTAAAGATTATATTTTTAAGATTCTAAACTTAGTTTAAGCTTATTCTTAAATTAATGTTCCCCTGAAGTTCCAAAAATTCCTTGATCTCTTTTTCAAGTTCTTATCCATCTTTCTTTTTTATTATTTCTAATTTTCTATTTTGGTATTTTAATTTTCTTTCTTTTTTTAAAATATTATTCTTATGTTTTTATTTAATATTTTTTTAATTAACCATACAATTTTTGATATTATTGAGAAGTTAAAATAATTGATGAATAACTATGCTCATTTTGGGAATAATTTGTAAATATTCCTAAATTGAAGGTTTGGCTTGTCAACCAAATTTATTTATTTCTTTTTTAGAAAATCATAATCTTAGGTATAGAAAAGGATAACATTTTCTATCTTGTATTTTTCATTCAAACTCAAATAAAAGTAAATTAAACTATTATGACGAGTAAGAAAAATAATTAACATTATTTTATTTTTCTGATCAAATTTTAAAAAAAAATCAAAAATTTCCATCATGATATCAATAATAATAACAATAATAATAATAATAATAATAATAATTATTATTATTAGTTAATATATAATATCAATTAATCGAAGAATGATATCTTTAAATAAGTTAAAAGTAATTTAAATTTAGGGTTGAGAGTTTATTAAACTTTTTTTTTGGATCAATCTTATTTTTCACTAATTTTTAAAAAATTTAGGGTTGAGAGTGTATTAAACTTCTTTTTTTTGGATCAATCTTATTTTTCACTAATTTTTTTTATGGTGTATTATTTACTAAAGAATAAAATATGTTGTGCATTATTTTTATATTCTTAAATTATTAAATGCGCCCTTTAAAAAATTATATTATTTCTATCTCTATTTAAACATTTTTTAAAAGTTCCCGTAAAATTTAAATATATTTTTCAAGGTGATTATTAGTTATGATAATAAATAAATAAAAACGTACATGAGTCATAATTTTAGTATAATTTAAGCATGTATGTAATATTTTAATTATAAATTTTTTCTGTTAAAATTATCACTCACATTTTATTATTAATCTACCTGAAAAATATGTTTAACATATTTAATATTAAAAAAAAGCATAATTTATCTTTTATCAAATTTAACGTAGTATAACGTATATTTTATTTTAATATATATATATATATATATATATATATATATATATATATATATATATATATATATATATATATATATATATATATATATATATATATCACCTAAGTTTATGCACAAGCAATGGTTTCATCTGGAACTATCCGCCGCCTGCAAACCCTAATTTCTTCTGTGCTTAGCAAAATAGTGATAGTTGTGATTCTTGAATATTCATTCACCAAATCTTCTATTGGATCTTTCAAGTTTTCAATTCATATTCATTCATTTCATGGTGAAGGGACAAAGTCGTCAATTTCTCTTTCTTAACCCTCAACATTCAAGATTTTTTGTACTTCATGTTGGTAAGGGAATATTCTTCTTAAATTAACGTGATAGGGTGAAGGAAAAAAAGACTAATGAGAGAAAAAAAACTTGAATGTTGGTTTTCTTATGAAACAATGACACTATTTTGAAGAAACTATTTAATTTAAGCTTTTAAATTTACCAGAAAGCACAACAAATTATACTTCTGATTTTTTGTTTAGTGGATCTTATTTTGTGGCTTAATAATCGAGTCTCAAATTTTAATCAAGAATAAAATTTGTGTTTAAAAGAGAATATTATTAGAACTTGTGCGAAAAATTATTAATCCCAATTAAAAAGAATTTATTAATAAAAATGGTCTAAAATTATATTTTAAAGTGTTTCAAAAATATTTTTTGTAAAACAAACCTTAAACAGTATTTATACAAAACTTAAAAAAATTAACGATGAAAAATTAGATTGGATTAATTTTGATCTATGAAAGTAACTCGTGAATAATTAATTATTCATAAAATAAAATGGAGGAACCTGATCAGTTTTTTTTTTTAATAAATGAATATATGATACACAGGATGAATGACATGTGAATGAATTGTTTTGTCATCCTTGTTTTTAGAGCCTGATTCGAAAAAAAGAAAGATAATAAAATAAAATAAGAAAAGGTATAAATAACCGTATATTTTATCTTACTTAATAAAAACTATAAATTTAATTTATCGTTGATCCTGTGTTTAAATTTCAAAAGTTCCTCGTCATATTCTCTTCCGATTCCCTCCAACAAAAAATTTATGTGCAGGTACATACACCGATTCTCATTAAAGCTTGAATTCACACTCAATGCAAATTGGAGGGGAGTAAAGAAAACAAAAAGACACTGAGAAAAATGACTGAGGTATTCATTGAACTTTAAATTGTTGAGGTCAATTTCTGAAAAAAATTGTGACCTTTCTCGTAGTATTCATTTGTTTTTTCTTTGTTGAAGTCAAATTGTGATATTTTTATTAAATTTTTCTTTTTAAAGAAAAAATTCCACTACAAGTAGCCATTGGGAGTGAATACTATTCTGAACGATTATTTTCCATGAAAGTTTTAGTCTTTTCTATCCCACACCACCAGTGAGAGTGACCCCTCCTTGACTTGGCTTACTTGTCTTTTCGGCCACGTGTTATTCCTTTACTCCCAAGCTGCTTAGTGAGTAAGTAGTATCCACTTTGTGTCGGGGAACCTGTTAAATATACACTCACTCATACGTTTATCAGAGGGGAAAGTTAGAACCTTGTGCGCTACCCTGTGTTCAAATCGGTATCTATGAATTCTGGGTTTAACCTGTTTTGCGGTTTATTATCTTCCATGACATGGAGAAGGTTTATTTTTATGATGGGGTGTTTTTCTTTCATTGGAATTCGAATGTAGGTTGATCAAAGAGGCAAACAGACCATGGAAGAGGCACTCTCTGGGGAAATAGGTGCCGATACACAACAGCAGAACAACACTCGTGATGTTCTTCCTTTTGCTAGAAGGTGAGTTTAGTGTATAGATGTTGTTGCTAAAGCATGTATTGTTTAATATGTTAATCTATTTGTAATAACTTTGTCATTGATATTTTTTTTTTTGGAGTAGTTATCAACTTGAAGCTTTGGATAATGCTTTGCGTGAGAATACCATAGTGTACTTGGAGACAGGTTCCGGAAAGACTTTGATAGCTATCATGCTACTTCGCAGCTATGCTCATCATCTGAGAAAACCTTCTCCTACTATTGCAGTGTTCTTGGTTCCCCAAGTTGTGTTGGTCTCTCAAGTATGTCACTTTTTCTGTTGTGATGATGATGCCTTTTGCAAATTTGAGATACATGATTTGATTGCCATGTAATAATAGATCAGTACTTTAACTTAGCTTTTTGTAGTCATTATCTATTTAACTTGTTGCTATTCATTCTTTTAGCAATCTGAAACCGTGAAAAAGCACACCGATTTGAAAGTGGGAACGTATTGGGGAGCCATGGGAGTTGACTTCTGGGATGCTGCTACCTGGAAACAAGAAATGCAGAAACATGAGGTGAGGGTTTTTGCATTTCTATCAGGGTGAAAGATGCCCTTGTTGGCTGTATGAACTTATTCTTAATCATAATCCATCTGTTGGTGCCATATTTGCCATGTTCCTGTTTTTCCTCACTTGAAAAGGTGGCTGAATGTTTATTTCTAATTTGGATTTTACAGAGGGATGATTACAAATCATATGTATAGACTGCATCTAACCTAATGATGGAATTAGAAGAGAATAAAAACTGTAAAAGTCAAGTCTGTATAAGCCTGTCCTGATCATACAAATAAACAATTATGGTCTTGACGGAACTAGCTTCTCTTGACACCTTACGCCACTTTCCACGAGAACACAAGAAATACTCCATTTTCTTCATTGACTTTATTGATGGGCATCTGGCTACAAACTCTTTTTCATTGTTCCTTTTGGAATTTATTTCACATGGTCTAATTTTGACATTTTTCTCTTTATTTGTGAAGTATATACTGGGTTAAAGCTTGTAGTATACTTAAACATAGTTTTTTGCCTCTATCGTTATGTTTTACTAAAATGGAATAGAAGACAAATGTTTTCTTTGTTCTATTATTCGATTGACTTGAATATGACATCCTTGCTTCATTTGTTACATTTAGTATGATGCTTCTGAAATTTGTTTTTGAATGCTACTGGACAATTGGTAATTACTCTTGGTATTCTTTTGGATGTATAGGTATTTGTTATGACTCCTGCAATACTGCTGAATTGCTTGAGGCATAGCTTCCTCAAACTGAATATGATAAAGGTTTTAATAATGGATGAGTGCCATCATGCTAGGGGTAAACACCCTTACGCCTGCATCATGACTGTAAGTGTTATATCCTCTCCATCTTTTCTCTTCATTGGTTTGCATATATGAATTTCTTAATTACTTTTATCATGACAATATATTTGAGCTGTGACTTCTTCAATAATATGTTGAAGTACACCTTTAACCTTTCTACGCCATTGTCAAAAGGGGGGACATTAAACCCTCAACCACCAGGCTAGTGTACAGACTGGGTGGGATGTTGTGTGACTAATAATACTAGGTATAGGGATAATTTCCCATGTGTCTAAAATACATAGAATAATATATTTATAATTAAAAGTAATATATATTGTGACTAATAATATCTAAAATATTTAACACTCTCCATCAAGCTTATACATATAAATCATATGTACTAAACTTGTTACAAATATAATCAATTTTAGGTCCCCGTAAAGATTTAATGAAAATATCTGTTAACTATTCACTTGAGTTAACAAACTTGGTTTTAATGTCTTCAGATACAATATTTTCTCGAATAAAATGACAGTCAATTTCAATGTGCTTGATCCTTTTATGATAGACAGGATTAGAGTTAATATGAAGAACAACCTGATTGTCACATATAAGTGTCATTTGAGTGACATCTCCAAATTACAATTCTTTAAGTAATTGTATAAGACAAACAAGTTCACAAGTGGCTGCGACCATAACTCTATATTTTGCTTCTGCACTAGATCTTGCTACAATACTTTGTTTCTTGCTCTTCCAAGAGATCAAGTTACTTCCAATAGAAAGACATTATCCAAAAGTAGATATTCTATCAGAAGGAGATCCTACCCAATCAGCATCTGAATAACAGACAGCTTTAGCCTGGTTATTGTGATCATATAACAAACCTTTTCTAGGAGATCTTTTAATGTATTTTAACATACGGATGACTGCACTCCAATGATCTACACATGAGGAATTAAGAAATTGACTCACCACACTAACTATAAAGGAAATGTCACAATAAGATAGTTTAATTTTCCAATAAATCTTTTGTACTTCTTAGGATATGAGAAAGACACCCCCTGATTAGGTAGAAGTTTGGTATTGGGATCTATGGGTGTGTCAACAAATTTTGAGTTCATCAACCCAGTTTCTTCTAAAATATCCAATATATATTTTCTCTGAAATATAACAATGTCATTATTAGATAGTGCTACCTCAAACCCTAAGAAATATCTAAGTTTGTCAAGATCTTTGGTCTGAAAGTGATGACAAAAGTGTTGCTTCATTTGGGAGATGTCATGGTGATCATTTCCTGTAAGAACAATATCATCAACATATACTATTAAATAGATACACCCAATACTTGAGTGATGGTAAAATACTAAATGATCTGTCTCACTGCGAGTCATACCAAACTACTGAACAACACTGCTAAATTTTCCAAACCAAGCCTTAGGAGACTCTTTTAGGCCATATAAAGATTTGTGAAGACGACATACCAATCCTGAGCAACAAAATCTGGAGTTGCTCCATGTAAATTTCTTCCTGTAAATCTCCGTTAAGAAAAATATTTTTGACATCCAATTGGTAAAAAGATCATTATTGAAAAGCAGACATGGCTATAAATAAGTGAACAAAAGTCATCTTTGCCACTAGAGAAAATTTGTCACCATAGTCCAAACCAAAAGTTTGTGTGTAACCTTTGACCACAAGACAAACTTTGAGATGGTCAATAGTACCATCAGGACCAACTTTGATAGAAAAATCCACCTGCAACTAATAACGGATTTCCTAGACGGTAATGGGATGAGTTCCCAAGTTCCACTATTCTAAAGAGCACTCATTTCATTAAGCATGGCCTGACGCCAACCAGGATGAGCTAAAGCATCATCTACGGATTTGGGAATTAACACAGAAGAAATGGCGAAAGACAAGTATAAAATGGTGGAGATAATCTATGGTAATTCAAAGCAGTATAATGAGGAGAGGGATTATAAGTAGAACGTATATCTTTACAGAGGGAAATTGGAAGGTCAAACTTAGTTATCGGAGTCGAATGAGACAAAGGAGTTGGCACTAGATGTGAGTCATTTGGTGGTTGTTGGGATCTTTGTCTTTAACTATAAACTTAAAGTGGTAGTGCCGGAGGAGGATCCGAAGGTGGATTAACAGGAGAATCACATATAATAGGAATACGGCGACACACACGGAGAAAAAGATATTTAAAGTAAAAGGAAAACTCATTAAAGGTGACATCTGTAGAAATAAAATAACGGAAGAGAAAGAGAGAAACACTTATATCCTTTTTGTGATCGAGTAAATCCTAAAAAAATACATTTGTGTGATTTAGGAGATAACTTATCAAGACCAGGACTAAAGTTATGAATAAAACATGTAGACCCAAAAACTTTAAGATGTAAGGGATGTAGAGGTTCACGAGGAAATAAAAGAGAATAAGGAATTTTGTTATTTAGAAATGAATATGGCATGCAATTGATAAAATAACATGCAATAAGAACAATGTCACCCAAAAAATATTTAGGAACCGCACCATGAATTAAAAAAGTGCGAGTTGTTTTAACAATATGTCTATTCTTACGCTCAACCACCCCATTTTCTTGAGATTTATAAGCACATGAAGTTTGATGAAGAATGTTATAGGAAGTCATAAAATGTTTAAAAGAACGAGAAAGGTATTCACGACCATTATTATTTCGCAATATTCGAATAGAAATCCTAAATTGAGTTTTAATTTAATTAAAAAATGATTGGAATATAGAAAACAACTAAAAACGATATTTCGTTGAAAACAATGAAGTACTTTTGGAATAATCAATAAAGGTAACAAAATACTGAAAATCTAAATTAGACTTAACACGATTGAGTCCCACATGTCAGAGTGAACTAATGCAAAAGGGGATTTGAAAAATTCATTGAAAATAGCAGATTTGTCTATGGTATAAAAGGAAGTAAGATTCCCAGTAGATGATTGTGAGGGAGAATCAGTTTGGACAACTGTAGCAAATCGAGGAGGACGACCATGTAATGCATAACACCTGTTAATCTTGTGGTCTAACTTGTGACAATGATCGCACTTGTGACGTCCTTTTCTTGGCTTGCATTTATCATGTTTAGACGTCAAAGCAGAGGAATCATCAGCGGAAGCAGATATATTACTGATGTATTTACTTGGCACACACAAAAGGGTGGAATAAGTAGAAGTGAAATTGGGCACAATAGGGGAACCCAAAATCTGATCATAGACCTGAGAATATTCGTCAACAAGCCTATGTAATGTTAACAACATGAAGAACTTTGACCGTTGCTCTAGTTCTTGGGCAAGAGTAGAGGCAGGAGGTAATCACTCATTAAAGTCATGAAGAAGAACACGAATTTTACCCAAATATTCAGCCATTGGACCATGACTTCGAGGAGCAACAACAGTGAGAAGATCATGACAAAAATCCCATAAAAACGTTGAGTGTCATTGGTGTATAATAATTTTGTTTGTTCCCAAACCTCAGAACACGTTTCGTAGGCACGAAACATTTGCTTTAAAGAGGAGTGAATGGTAGACTTGAGAACGATGCATAACTGAACATCAATTTTCATCCAACGGGAAACTTCACTGGTAGCAATAGTAGTCACATTGTGAGTAAGATGATCAACATACCCATGACTCTTAAGTCAAAATTTAATGTCTGGCGCCCAAGTCACACAATTAGTACCATCTAACTTATCAATAATCTTCACTGCGACTCATTGAATAATCGTGTTGCAGTAATCATACTGTGTCAGTAATTGCTCTGGACTCTGATCTACTTAATGTTTGAAGATAGTTTGAAAAATGACTTAATATTAAACATGAATTCCATGGATGTAATACAGTGATAAATGGCTTCTGAAAAATTGTTGGACCATTGTACCATCATACTTTTTGATGTGAGATTATATTTAAATTGTTGTCTTTGTTCAATACTATCATGTTTTTCCTAATTTTATTTTGTTTTGTAAGAGTTGTAACTTCTTTTGTTTGAGGACAACTGCAATCATGTATAGTAAGTTGATGTTTGCTTGTTATGCATCTGCATCATGAGTTAGTTGTTACCTTTGTAAGATTTGATTTCTTGCAGGAATTTTATCACCACCAACTAAATTCTGGTATCACTGATCTCCCTCGAATTTTTGGGATGACTGCATCTCCAATTAAGTCGAAAGGTACACAAGCCTAGAGAAAGTTTGTATCCCTTGCATTGCAAGAATTTTATTTTTTTTTCTTTCTCAAATGCTGAATTTCCTTTTTCTTTCTCTTTTTTAATCCAGTTGGAAATTCTGAATTATCCTGGTCAGAGAATATTCGGAAACTAATGACTCTAATGCATTCTAAGGTTGCCTTTTTATTTTCTCCCTCTATTCTACAGTTTTTCTTGCTTTCTTCTTTCTGTTTATGTTATTGTGTTGTTCGAGTGTTTATCCACTATCTTCTTGGTATAAATTATAAATATTGTTTACTTAAAGATAAACCAATGTAGATACAGTACAGAGACTACTGATTGTGCTTCCAAGTGACACATTATATGCCAGGAAGTATCAAAAGGATTAAATTTATGTTAACTTGTTTTATACTTTCTAGTTATTTGTAGCAGTTATTTTTTTAGTTTTTAGGAAGCAGTTGTGACTGTTCAAGACTCAAAATGTTAACATGCCTAGAGGTATTTGAACCTATACCTATATTAGAAAGTTATTTCTTTTTGAAGAAATGAGATAATGTGGTTGGAATAATTTATTCTAGTGATTAATACTCGTTTGTGCTGATGTGCAAACCATTTGGTCCTGCTATGTATTATTTCTTTGACAACTACTTTGAAATGAAGGTATATACATGTGTAAGTGAAGCTGTCCTCGCTGAGTTCATACCAACATCAACACCAAAATTCAAGTTTTATAGGAACAATGGAGTTCAATTTGCATTATTTGAAGAATTAGCATTGAAACTCAAGATGTTGAAAGAGCAGGTGTGTACATTTAAGGATATTAGCTTTTGATATAAACTCAAACAATTAAGAAAAAGAAAAATTACCCTTGTGTCAAAAATGGAACTGACTCAACTCCTTTATAAGTTCTATCTTGTTATCTTTCTGTATTTATTATTAGTCAGAATCACACTTTCATTTATATTTAGTGCTACTTTCTGTATGTCATAGTTTATTATTTGTTGAGGTTATTAACAATTGATATTTTGTTTCTCAGCATGAACTCACTCTAAGTTGTTCAGATTTTACTAAATCAGCTGCTGAGTCTGCACAAAAAAGAATAACAAAGATTTTTTGTGCTTTAATGTTTTGCCTGGATGAGCTTGGTGTGTGGTTGACTTTGAAGGTTCTTGCATTTCTCCTGCCCAGACTTTTTCACTCTCATGATTCTTCAAGGTTTCATAAATATAATTGACGACAATTGTTTGTTTACATGACAGGCTGCAGAGTCTTTATCTTCCTGTGACTTCGAATCATTTTCATGGGGACATTCCTGGGATAGAGTTGTTAAAAACTTTATTTTGGCTTGTGTGCAGACACTGAAAAGTTGCTTACCATGTGGTAATGATTCTACATTAATTGAGGAAAATGGTGAAATTTCAAATATAAATCTGTTGCTTGCATTCCTAGCCATAATTAATTTTTACACAATGTTTTCTGCTTGCTCAGATCCTCAGTGGTCTATTGGCGACAATATTAAATCCGATGTGGAGATGGGGCTGTTGACCTCCAAAGTTTGCTGTCTTATTGACTCTCTACTTGAGTACAGGTTTCTTTTTAAATATTTCTGATGTGGTTCTGAAATCATGTTATGCGGGTTATTGTTATGGATGTTCTGGCCTCTAGATTCTCCTTGTCCGAATTAGACAGTTTAAGTTTCTTATTGGACGATTAAATGCCTTTGTGGTTGGTCACTTGGTTAGATACGTGAAGTTTCATATTTCTCCTTTATTCTTCGGCTCTTGATAAGGGTGTTGAATGGATGGATTTCTTAACCTGTCACAATATTTCATAAGCCCAATTATGTCCCAACTATGATTGGGCTATTACGGTTGACTCCATGTATGACAAATTGTACAAATTCGGATATCTTGTGCTATGACAAAATTAGAAGTAGAAAACTGATTAATTTTAGGATACTTTTATTTATTGAAAGATACACGTTATATATGTGTTTTAGTCTATAGCAAGTGTGTAAAGTCAAAATAATTTTGAGTTTTAAAATGTGTGAAACTAGTTAGAGTTTGGGATAACATCCGTCTAGTGTGTGGAATCTAAGGCTGTGGAATTTCCAACGCCTAAGATGTCGAACTCCATTTTCATTGTGGCCTTACCTCAAATTGATTCATTCACAATGATTTTGTGCTGTGACATACTATTTTAAACTCCATTTATTATTAATCAATTTTAGATTCATTATTCTTACTAGTTTACATTTTGATAGTAAGTAGTTCCAGTGGAAGAACACTATTGTTGTTGTTCGATTGAATGTAGTAATAGTTTTTTGCCGTCATGATGGTTATATATAAATCTCTTTTATAAATGTACTTTTATTCTACTATTGCAGAGATTTGACGGACATAAGATGCATAATTTTTGTTCAAAGGGTCATTACAGCCATTGTCCTTCAGGATCTATTGAATACCTTACTTCCAAAACTCAATAGCTGGAAGACTAAATTCATCGCAGGACACAATTTTGGATTGCAAAATCAGTCTAGGAAAAAACAAAATGAAATTGTGGAAGAATTTCGAATGGGATTGGTATGCTGATTTCTTGAACAATCCACTGCATTGTAATAACCAAATGAAGTTTCTTATCAACAAAAAAAATTAATATGCAGGTTAACATCATTGTTGCAACATCAATTCTTGAAGAGGGTTTAGATGTTCAAACTTGCAATTTAGTTATTAGATTTGATCCATCTCCTACAGTGTGTAGTTTCATACAGTCCCGAGGACGAGCCAGAATGCAAAATTCAGATTACATATTAATAGTTAAGAGGTAGTTCTTTTTTTGCATTCTCAGTGTCATCATCATTACTTTAGCACTTTAACAATGCTAATTATCAAGCTACAAGAGACAATGTTATAGAGTTATATCTATGCACTTTACTTGTTAAAGTAAATGTTCCCTAAACACCTCTTTTTATTCTAAAATTACAGTGGGGATTCAGTTACATGTTCTCGTCTAGAGAAATACCTTGCGAGTGGGGATATTATGAGGAAGGAGTCTTTGCGTCATTCTTCCCTTCCACGTGATCCGTTAGAAGGTGATCAATTTGACGAGGAAACTTATCGTGTTGCAAGCACTGATGCCTTTACAAATCTTAGTTCTAGCATTAGTTTGATACACTTGTATTGCTCACGGCTCCCTTCAGATGGGTTAGTTGGTTCATTTTTTCCCTTATTATTACATGCTTCTTTTGCATCATTCTGGTTGTTTTGTTTTTATCTTGTTTTTCATCATTTATCCCATCTAGATTAAACTCTCAGGTACTTTAAACCAGCTCCAAGGTGGGACAAAGAGACTGGAACATTGTATCTTCCTAAGAGCTGTCCTCTACAACCTATTCGTCTAGAAGGTGATAAAAAGAGCTTAAAGAATATAGCATGCCTTGAAGCATGCAAACAACTTCATAAAATTGGAGCTCTGACAGATAATCTTGTTCCTGATATTGTCGTTGAAGAAGCAGAGGTGGAAGAATTTGGTAACTTACATGACCTTTTCATTCTCCTCCCTCTATTAGTGGCTTTCTTTAAACTTATTTGTCCAGTTTTCATGGATTCCACATCAAACAAATTCTTGCAGGTAATGAGCCTTATGATGAAAACCAACCAATTTATGCCCCATTTGGATTGGTAAATTGTGTGACAAATAATAGTCACACAACATACTATTGTTATTTGATGGAGTTCGGTCAAAATTTTAGCTATCATACATCTGTGCAAGATATTTTTTTTGCCGTAAGAGTAGAGCTTGATCCAGAAATTGGATGCGCACAGTTTGATATGGATTTTGACAGAGGTAGCGTCTCTGTAAAGTTAAGATACAAAGGAACCATTAATCTTTCGTCAGATCAGGTATGTTGTCTAGTTGTTCTTTGATTGTATTTGGCATATATGTAAGTGTTCAGAATAGTCCTTGTATTCATTGTTTTTTTTTTCTCCAGGTTCTTTTGTGTAAAAAATTCCAGGTTACTTTGCTTAGAATTCTGATACATAATTCTATGAGTAAGTTCACAACTGGTTTGGACAAATGCTTTTTGAAAGATGATCTTGAGATTGATTATCTTCTGCTTCCAGCTACTGGTAAACGGCCAAATTCAATTATTGATTGGTTAATTGTTAATTCAGTAAATCCATCTAATATTAGGTGTAAGTATCATCAGCCCCACATAAGTACAAAATGTGGTCTAGTATGTTCTTGTAAACTACAGCATGCATTGGTCTGTACTTCCCACAACCCTTATGGTAAGATTTATTTCTATGCCACCTCTGGTATAATGGAATTGGACTCAAACTCGCCTATGAAACTAAGGGATGGAGGAGTTACTACGTACATGAAGTACTTTGAACAACAGTAAGTACTTATTCGTGTTTGATGTTTATTCTCAGTTACTTTATCCACTAGAGTGCATTACTCTTTTCCTTTCCCCAATTTTCAGTCATGGTATAAAATTGAAATTTGGACGTCAACAACTACTCAAAGCAAAACACAAGTTTCAAGTTAAAAATTACTGTCACGGACTCAAACAAGGAAAGCAAAAAGGTTTAACCCTTGATTTTTCAATCTGTTTATTTTATTTTGTTCTTTATTCTCACCGTGGTGAGATTAGACCAATGATATTCTTTGCCGTCCATATATATATGCACAGAATATGTTTTTTGGTTTTTCTTTTTTAATTAATGCAACAGTTTTGTTATAATATTAAGATGAATAGGATTTGTATCACACTGCTCCTATTAATCAGAATCTAGTTATCAATGTCATGATGCCAAATTATACTTGTATTATGTTTCCGAAAAGTCGAAGCTATGTTTAGTACTTGTCTTCAAGCTTTATCCATGTGTGATCCAATCTGAATCCTAACTGTGTTTTCCGTTTCAGAAGAAAGCCAGGTCTTTGTTGCATTACCTCCGGAACTGTGCTCTATAATCATGTCACCGATAACGGATAGTATCATTTATTCCTTCTCATTTATTCCATCAATCATGCACCGACTTGAATCATTGCTTGGGGCTTTCAACTTAAAAAAGATGTATTTGGATCATTGCACGGAGAATGAAATTCAAACAATTAAGGTGTGTCAGCTGCTCATTGATATATTCTAGAAATGGTTATATTGCCATGTTTTCTTTCACAATTGGAAATTTTACAACTTTCTGCTACTTGTCCTTAGTAGACATTAGATAAATTTTTTTTAGTGATATCAGCTTATTTTACTGCATGTTTTATTGTATCCTATATATATATATATATATATATATATATATATAGAAGCAGTCATGGAAAAAAAATAATTGATGCAGAAAGCATGGGATTCTGGGTAGAGGTGACTAATTCAGTCCACCCTGCCCCCCTTTTACCCTCTGTTACCTCAGCTAATACACTATGAAGCGATTGATAAAAAACTGTATGAAATTTTTTATGCTAATGTTCTCTGAATGTGTGGATTCTGTTTCTAGTCTCTCTATTTTTTTCTTTTTCTTTTTTTTTTCTTTTTTCAATTGTCAAATATTTTAGACATATTTAAATCAATGGTACTTGCATTTTGCATTGTAGGTTTTGGAAGCAATCACTACGAAAAGATGCCAAGAGATTTTTCATTATGAGTCTCTAGAGACTCTTGGTGATTCTTTTTTAAAATATGCTGCTAGTCAACAGCTGTTTAAATCCTATCAAAATCACCATGAAGGTCTCCTTAGTGTGAAGAGGGAAAAGATCATATCTAATGCCGCCCTCTGTAAGTTAGGGTGCCGTTGTGGACTTCCGGTACTCTTTCTCTCTGATATTTTCATTCCAATTTTTATGCTATGCATCTGTTATGAATGCTGTCTTTCAGCATTTTTCATATTTACACTTAAGATTTTTTTTGAATGTTTGTCTTTATTCTGCTTTATAAATTCTATTTCTTTAAATGTATGGTTGATTTCTTACTCTATATTCTTTATCAGCATGAAGAAGTGTTGATAAATATACTTTTATTTAAAATTTGAATTTCAAATAAGAATTCCTGAAGACTTGTGTTGTTAGATAAAAATCAGAATATTCAATATGATTTGATATTATTCTCCTTTATTCTAGATGATTTGGGTAGTTAACATCAAGATCGGATTATCTAAATCTGATAGAGAAGCTTCCTCTCCATCCTTTCCTTATATTGTTAGCAACACTATTTTATACCATGCTTTAGTGTTATTGCATACTTTTTTTCTTTTACAACATATTAGTTTTCTCATATCATGTTTTCCCTTTTAGTGGCTTTAACACTGCTGATGCTGATGTGGTTGTGTAGTGGGAAATTTGTTTGAGGCTTTTCTCACTCCCTGGAATGTGTAACAAACTAATTCTATGAACATGGCTGGGTGCCTCCATGGAATACACGTTTTCATTCTCAAACAATTTACTCTCTCTAAAAAATATTTCATTCATCAGTTTCTCGCAATTGCACTGGAGATTATTCAGCTATTGTTTTACGAGCTCTTGGTTACTTTTATTCTCGAAATTATCTCCCTGAATCCAAATTTCCATCACATATCTATTTTGTAATCAGGATTAGGACTTTCTTCTACCCATGTCTGCCTATATCTCATGTATTTGTGATCAATTGAGAATAATAAAGATACTTTTCTTCTCCAAAAATTACATGAAGAACTTGGTTCCTGATATAATGACAAAAAGTAGCGCGTGGTTCACTGTTTTAATTAGTTATTACTGTTTTTTTTTTTCCTTAAAATTCGATAGAATATTATAATTGTGATTGTTTGGGTGATTGTAATGTTTGTACAAGTTTTTGATATGTAAGTCCCCATGCTTAGTAGAATGATTATAGAGGGAGTAAGTTGGGGGCTGGGAAGATTACAGAAATAAAGGATGTTGCCAATTAACATGAGGAAGGGAAGGGAAGGGAGAGAGCATCTTATCATTTGTTAGAGTGCTTTGGCCTTTGGGCATTGGGGGATGCTGATGCTCTAAGTTCTGCAAGTTAAACAGTTTTCTTTCTGTAATTTTGATCCAGTTTGTATTGGTTTTTATATTATTTGCTCTTTGGGAAGGGAAGATCTGATTGCCTAGTGAAAAGAAAGGAGTGCAGCGAGCTGCTCACTAGTAGTGCAGGCACATGAGTACGCTGATCAAGCAGTTGGAAATGCTATGGTTTTTTAGGAAGAGACTAGTGCATAGAGTAAGCAGAAAATTGTTGAGTGTGTACAGAGAGCTAGGCTCTGGACTGAGTGAGAACTTTTTTCCCCCTAAGAGCTATGAGGTCCTCATAGTGGGATAAAACTTGATTTTAAGAGTTGTTTCTTGGGTTCCTATCAAAGTTCAAACCGAAACTTTACAATATTTACTGCAAGTAATGTGCTCTCTAATTTGTAATGCTCGTGGCATGAGGAGTTTATAATATTTATTGTATTGCTTAGCTATCGGTTGATCCAATCTCAGATGAATTTGTGTGGTTTTAGAATTCTGTATTACATCATAAGGATTGGATTATCATCTTGAAACTTCAGAATTCTTCATTCTTCATTCTTTTGATTGGCAGGGCTTCATACGAAATGAGCCTTTTGATCCTAATGCCTGGATTATTCCTGGTGATAAATCTGAAAGTTTTAAACCCACAGCGTTGGTTACCGGAGGGAAGAAATTTTATGTTCATGGAAAAAGAAAATTGAAACGGAAGATCATTGCTGATGTTGTTGAGGCACTAATTGGAGCCTTCCTGAGCACTGGTGGTGAAAAAGATGCATTGCTGTTTATGGATTGGATTGGTATTGAAGCGAAGTTTGATAAAATACCATATGAGAGGCATTTTGACATTCAACCAGAGAAACTGGTGAATGTGAGATTTCTAGAATCTCAATTAAAGTACTCATTTGTTGACCGTTCTCTTTTAGTGGAAGCTCTAACCCATGGTTCCTACATGCTGCCTGAAGTTCCTAGATGTTATCAGGTACTTTCTGTGGTTATTATTTGTTATATGAAAACAAGACAGTGACATTATCATGTATTTATTATGTATGAATAAACTTTCATCAATTCCATAGTGACTGGCCTATTTTTTTAAGGCTAGGTAGGACCTAATAAATAGTAATTCTACACATTCTTCATGATCAATCATTTTTTTCCTCTCATTCTTTTTATGTTTTATTCTTTTATCTCAATTTGTGAATGATACACTTCTTTCCTTGCAGCGACTAGAATTTCTAGGAGACTCAGTATTGGATTATTTGATAACATGGCATTTGTACAATAAATATCCTGGCATGTCCCCTGGTCAGTTAACTGACATGAGATCAGCTTCTGTAAATAATGATTGTTATGCATGGTCTACCATCAAGCATGGATTGCACAAACATGTACTACATGCCTCACAAGAACTGCATATGCATATTGCTATTACACTTGACAATTTTGAGAAGTTGCCTTCATCATCAACTTTTGGATACGAGTCAGAGACATCACTCCCTAAGGTTAGTTGTTAACATTTGGTTTATAGGTCCACTTGGTTATTATTGTCTAAGCATTGAGTTTATGCTGCTAACATATTATTACTGTCAGCTGTGTTCGAAAAGGCTTCCTGAAAGTGAACTTGACTGTCTATACAATTAAGGGTGTATCTATTCTATAAATTCCAGGGTGGATACATACGTACTCTTGCTCCTTATTGACAAATTTACTTCAGAAGATCCTTGAGAATGTTGAACTACCTAAATAAATATCTCATTATTATGGATTTTCTGTTAGCAATACTATTTGGTATGACTTGTTCTACAAAAAATGTAATGAATGCCTAATTAATAACCAATCATGGTTGGGGTGAGGGTGGGGGAGAAAGTTGGATAAATGGGTAACTTAATAACCATTCTTAAGTTGTTGCTTGAAAATCTACTGGTGCCATTTACTATTTTTCTTTTAGTTTTAGGGGCAGCACTGTTCTGATTTTCAATTCTGTTTTTCTTGCGATTTTTAAGTGCTATGTGAAGGATAAATTAGTTCGCTATATGTACTACTCCATGAGATGATTCATTTCCTTGTTTCTAAAACCCATGGAATGTCGAATGATAATTAATTACTATACATATACTAATGAGTTAAATGATTATTGGTAAATATGACCAAATTCTTCCTCTTCTCCAATGTTAAAAGACCTTGGAAACTTTATTTTGTCTGTCATGATTCATTTTTAGACATGTTACTGCTTTGTTCTCGTCATTAGGGTCATCTAAATACCTTGGCATAATTTATAGATGTAATATTTGTATATACTTTCTGTGAGTTTTACAACTCATTTCTATTGACTTAGATGATCAACTACAAGGTGTTGTTGATCATTGCAAAAACTCATGAGATCCTTCCTATGGTGTGGTAGGTACTTGGAGACATTTTAGAGTCTCTAGCTGGAGCGATACTCGTTGATTCAGGATATAACAAGGAGGTTGTGTGGCAAAGCATCAGGCCACTTTTGGAACCCCTTGTAACACCTGAAACATTGAAGCTCCATCCCATCAGAGAGTTTTATGAAGTGTGCCAGAAAAGAAGCTATAAAATTATAAAAGATGAGGTGTCTCGAAAAGATGGTGTGACCAATTACAGAATGGAGGTAGAAGCTGATGGGGTCACTCACGAGTATGCGTATATCGGTTCTGCTCTCAAGGACACAGCCAAGAAGATAGTCTGCAAGAAGTTTTTGAATTCCTTCAAGGTAGAAGAACGGTTGGGTGAAAAAGTTTGAAAAAGTTCGTTATTGTGTGTAAAGGGTTAAGTTAACCAGTCCTTGTAGTTAACATTTATTTAGTGTTGTAATATTAATCTAATATTTGATTTAAGTCCTACATAAGAATTATTTCACAAGCCCATTTTGTCTGGTTTTATATATAATTATGCAGCATTTCTATTCTTGTTCTAAAGAAACTTTTTTTATTTTTAATGAGTAGTTTAAAATATAAGTTTGTTTGGAATTTGTGTTTATTTCTCGTCTTTTCCTCTGTACTATACTTAAATTTCAATAATTTAGTTTATGCATGGTTTAAAATTTGATTGAGAATTTTTATTTTATTTTAAGAGCAAATCCATATTTTGATCAATTTTTCCCTTTTCCGAAACTCCTTAAAGTTTATTGTCTTCTATAATCTTTTAAGCTTTCACTCTTTTACATCTTCATATATATCTTCCATTGTAGTGAAATGATGACAATGTATATATATATTTAGTTCTTACACTCTAAAAAATTTATCATAAATGTTTCGGTGCATAGATTCCAAAGAAAGACCACTTGCACTTATGTTTCTCTTAGCAATTAGAAAACAAGATTTGTTTTGTTCTATTATAATTTGCACAAGGAAAAACACCTTCATCTCTTGATATGCCTCCATGTGCATGCACTCATTCATCTGTTATGCCCTGGTGATGCTGAAAAAGAATGTCCACCCGGTGAAGGACTCTAAATATGGGTTTTACATAGTCAACAAAATAAGTAATGAATCCATAACTAACACGAGTATTTTAATAATATTAAATCACAGAGAATTAATACTTTTTGATATCATTAGGTTCCGGGGATATGTACGGTATCACAGTCGCTCTCAACCTATGTACGGTATCATATTAAATATATTGAAGAAAAAAAGGTAATGTAATTCTATTCTCACATACCCTAAAACACACGATTTTATTATTGACTTTACTATCGGAGTGTTTTTATAAGTACTCTTCTCCTCCCCCGGAGCCAAGAACCAATTTTGAACCTCCGGACAACCATGTTAAGAAAATCACACACTAATATACCTAAAAGAAAGGTTAGTGTTCATACTGATTTGACAGTGGGAATGTATGGGGGAGATATGGGAGTTGATTATTGGGATGGTGCTACCTGGACACAAGAAACGGAGAAACATGAGGTGATGATGTTTTTTTGTCACCTTCTGTTACGTAAAAAAAAAATAGAAAAAAAATTATGTATGAATGTAGTTGGATTAGTGAAATTGTTATATTTTTTTATTAGGAATTTTATCATGAATCATTTGATGAGATTGATATTTTTAATTATTTCTCATATTTGAAATTATTTGTTGTTGTGGATAAATGATGAAAAGATTTAAAATACATAAAAGTCCAAGATGATGAAAATCTAATTAAAAACTTAATTGGACCAATCATCTGTGAAGAAAGAAGTCCCACATCCGTGGGAACTTCAATTGGGGCTCTCCTCCTTCTTATAAAAGGAGTCCCTCCCCCCCTTATTTCAATTATCCCAAATATTTCTCCTTCTTTCTCTTTTACTTTCCTAGTATTGGTAATTTCCAATTGTAAAAGGAAAGAGTGGTCATTATAAAATTTTCATTTTTGCCTATTGTCAGGGTTATTTTTCTCGTCTCTATTTTAGTTGTGTGTATTTGTGCTGGTACTCTGATCCTAACAGTGGCTAGGAAAGACTTGGTACTTAAGTGTGTCTATTAGTGGTCCACCTCTCTTTCTTGGGAACTTACCTAGTGTACTGATTCACGGTCTACTACTATTATTCCAGTAGACAATACTATTCATAAGTGAAAGTTGCATAAGTCTGAAACACAACCATGGCAGCAAAGTACGAGATAGAGAAGTTCAACGGGAACAATTTCTCGTTGTGGAAATTGAAGATGAAGGCAATCTTGAGAAAGGACAATTGCGCAGAAGCAATTGAGGGAAAACCTGCAGAAATGACGGATAAAGATTGGAAGAAAATTGACAGCAACGCTATTGCAAATTTACACTTGGCAATGGCAGACTCAGTTCTATCCAGTGTTGCGGAGAAAGATTCTGCAAAGGAGATTTGGGATGCCCTCATTAAATTATATGAGGTGAAGTCACTTCACATAAGGATATTCCTGAAGAGGAAACTCTATACTCTTCGGATGAGTGAGTCCACATCGGTGACGGACCACATCAACCAACTGAACACCTTGTTTGCCCAATTAGCAGCAGCAAATTTCAACATAGTTGAGAATGAGCGTGCGGAACTTTTACTTCAGAGCTTGCCAGACTCGTATGATCAACTCATCATCAACATTACAAATAATAATATTGAAGGACAACTACACTTTGACGATGTTGCCGGAGCTATTCTAGAAGAAGAATCCAGGCGAATGAATAAGGTAGAAAGTTCTAAACAAGCAGAAGTTTGACGATGATGAGAGGAAGATCAACGGAACGTGGCTCAAGTGGGAGTCAAGATCATGGCAGATCGAGCTCTCGAAACAAGAAGACTTTCAAATTTAAATGCTACTACTGTGGCAAGAAAGGGCATACGAAGAAAGAGTGTTGGAAGAGGAAGAATGAAGAATCAATCTCACAGGGTTGCGTTGCGAGTACTTCAGAGGAAGGAGTAATTCTGGTAAGCGAAGCAGCAATCAGCTCTAATGGCGGAAACGAATTTCATGACAAGTGGATAATGGATTCAGGTGCAACTTGGCATATGACCCCACACCGAGATTGGTTTCAAACCTACAAGCCTATCTCAGGTGGATTCGTGTTCATGGGAAATGACCATGCATTGGAGATTGCTGGAGTTGGTACTGTCAAATTAAAAATGTATGACAGTACTATTCGCACAATCCAAGAAGTACGACATGTGAAGGACTTGAAGAAAAATATATTGTCTATAGGGCAATTGGATGACCTCGGCTGCAAGATCCATTTTGAAGGAGGAATCTTAAAGGCAGTGAGGGGAAACATAGTTGTCATGAAAGCAGAGAAAATCATGGCAAACTTGTATGTGCTTATGGGAGACACCTTGCAAGAAAATCATGCAACAACTGCGTCGGCAAGCCAAGAAGAAGCGGCGATAACGTGGCACCGTAGACTTGGACATATGTCAGAGCGAGGTCTGCAGATTCTTGCGGAACGTGATCTCATACCCGGGCTCAAGAAGGTCGATTTACCCTTCGTGAGCATTGTGTGACAAGCAAACAACACAGGTTGAAGTTTGCAAGAACCACCACAAGGAGTAAGCAAACTTTGGACTTGATCCATTCCGATGTCCGGGAATCACCGAATTATCTCTCGGAGGAGCAAAATATTTTGTGTCGTTCATCGATGACTACTCGAGGAGATTATGGGTATACCCTATCAAGAAGAAGTCCGAAGTATTTGCGCGGTTCAAAGACTTCAAAGCACAAGTAGAACTTGAGACCGGAAGGAGAATCAAGTGTTTGAGGACGGACAATGGAGGAGAATATGTAGATGGAGATTTTCTAGCATTCTCGCAAGCAAGAAGGAATTGTGAGACAATTTTCTGTTCCACACACGCCTCGCAGAATGGTATAGCAGAGCGGATGAATAGAACTCTTCTAGAGAGAACCGGAGCTATGCTGCAAACTGCAGGCATAACAAAGTCTTTCTCGGCGAAGCCGTGAATACTGCTCGTTACTTGATAAATCGGTCTCCATCAACAGCAATTGGGTTAAAAACTCCTATGGAAATGTGGAGTGGAAAATCAACCAATTATTCTTCCTTACATGTGTTCGGTTGTCCCGCGTACGTGATGTACAACACCCAAGAAAGGACGAAGTTGGATCCAAAATCCAGGAAATGCATCTTCTTGGGATATGCCGACAATGTGAAGGGGTATCGCTTGTGGGATCCCACCGCCCACAAAGTTATTGTTAGCAGAGATGTCGTCTTTGCAGAAAATGAACTGCAAAGCAAGCGGATAAATGACGACTCGAAAAGGACAAGACTATAGTACGGATAGAGAAGAAGACTTCGAACATTCCTCCGAGTTAGAGGAGGAGCATGAAGAACATGAGCCAAATGAGGTGGAAGAAGGAGAACTCCGACGATCAACAAGAGAAAGAGTCGACCATCTTGGCATTCACAATATGTGATGGCAAGTCATGATGCGTATTGTCTCCTAAGTGAAGAAGGAGAACCTTCAACTTTTCAAGAGGCCGTGAGTGGTTCAGAAGCTCCTCTATGGATGACTGCTATGGAAGAAGAAATTGAAGCTCTTCATAAAAACAAGACATGGCATCTTGTGGAACTTCCAAAAGGTCGCAGAGCCATTGGTTGCAAATGGGTCTATAAGATCAAGAGAGATGTCAATGATCAAGTGGAAAGATATCGTGCTAGATTGGTGGTAAAAGGATATGCTCAGAAAGAAGGCATTGATTTCAACGAGATATTCTCACCAGTTGTTAGATTGACAACAATCAGAATTGTCCTGGCGATGTGTGCTGCATTTGATTTACATCTTGAGCAATTGGATGTAAAAACTGCTTTTCTTCATGGAGAACTTGAAGAGGAAATATATATGCTCCAACCAGAAGGCTTCAAAGAGCAAGAAAACTTGGTTTGCAGTGTTGAACAAATCTCTATACTGCCTAAAGCGAGCGCCAAGGTGTTGGTATAAGAGATTTGATTCCTTCATTATTAGCCTCGGATACTACGGACTAAGTTCGGACCATTGTACTTACCACAATAGGTTTGAAGAAAATGATTTCATCATATTGCTGTTGTATGTGGATGACATGTTGGTGGTAGGCCCTAACAAAGCTCGAATCCAAGAATTGAAGGCACAATTGGCTAGGGAGTTTGATATGAAGGACTTGGGACCAACAAACAAGATTTTAGGGATGCAAATTCACCGAGACAGAAAAGATAGGAAGATTTGGCTTTCTCAAAAGAATTATTTACTTAAGATCTTGCGGCGCTTCAACATGCAAGATTGCAAGCCAATTTCTACCCCACTTCCCGTCA